GTTCTTATATTTCTTATCCCAAATGCAAAAAAAAACGTTCGGCCTGGGGATGAAGGATGCGGCACCCCGCGGCAGACATTCGCGAAACTGTTAGTGAGAGTGACGCAGATCGAAATCCCGCTTACGCAGGCTGGGAAAAATCCTCTTGAGCCCTAAATGTCGGAAGCGACGTGCCGTTCAGGTGAGCGGATACATGTTCCGCTCTCTTCGGTTTCGTGTCTCCTCCTCCCTCCTTCTTCCCCTCTCCGTCCTAGGAAGACCCCCGTCTGCCCCGTAGAGTCATAGCTTCGGCCAGCTGATCCACAGTACCGTGCGTAGCATATATATATATATATAATGAATATATATATATATATATACATATATTTTTATATATTTATATGTGTATATATATACTCATGGAAAATACATGGATCGGCGCAAGACAAAAATTAGGATCCACGACACTGCCAAAAAAAATATAATTGGATCTATCGGTGTTCTCACATTTTGAGTCTAAGGGGAAGAAACGTCCGGCCTGGGGATGAAGGATCCGGCACCCCGCGCCAGACATTCGGGAAAGTGTTAGTGGGAGAGACGCAGCTCGAAATCCCGCTTACCCGAAAGATTTTCCTCTTGAACCCCAAATGTCGGAAGCGACGTGCCATTCAAGTGAGCGGATACATGTATCGCTCTCTTCGGCTTCGTGCCTCCTCCCTCCCCCCCTTTCCCCGTAGAGTCATAGCTTTGGTCAGCAGAACAACAGTTCCGTGCGTAACATGACACTTCACGTGCGGTGCCCCGCGGATCCCATTTTCCCTGGGTCCGGGACGTTAATTACTTTCGTAATTTGTATTACACATACTCCCGGATAATCAATGGATTCACTGGTTTTTCACACACGTGACATTGGACTCGCGCAAGACAGAAATAGGACTCACGACACATATGTTCAACTTTACGGGGCAAAACTTTTGACTTCGGGATGAAGGACCCGGCACCCCGCGCCAGACATTTGCGAAATTGCTCGTGGGAGAAACGCAGATCGAAATCCGGCTACACGAAACATTCTCCACTTGAACCCCAAATGTTGGAAGCGACGTGCCGTTCAGGTGAGCGGATACATGTATCGTTCTCTTTTCGGTTTCGTGCCTCCTCCCTCCTCCTTCCCCTCTCCGTCCTAGGAAGACCCCCGCTTTCCCCGTAGAGTCATAGCTTTGGTCAGCAGAACCACAGTTGCGTGCGTAGCATGATACTTCACGTGCGGTGCCCCGCGGATCCCATTTCCCTTGGGTCCGGGATGCTTATTATAATTATACATATAAAAATATATGTCTATCTATACTTATATATCTCTATTTTTTAAATATATATATATATATATATATATATATATCCGGGAAAATAAATGAATCCATTGGTTTTTCACACACGTGAGATTGGATCCGCGCAAGACAGAAATCGGATCCACGACACTGTCGCACACCTGATAGAATTATCAAGTCGGATCCATCGGTGTTTTCATATTCTTTTTCTGAGAGGAAGATGCGTTCGGCCTGGGGATGAAGGCTACGGCACCCCGCGCCAGACATTCACGAAAGTGTGAGTGGGAGAGACGCAGATCGAAATCCTGCTTTCGCAGGCCTAACGATTTTCCTCTTGAGCCCCAAATGTCGGAAGCGACGTGCCGTTCACGTGAACGGATACATGTATCGCTCTTTTCGGCTTCGTCCCTTCTCCTCCTCCTCCTTCCCCTCTCCGTCCCAGGAAAACCATCTTTGTCCCCGAAGAGTCATAAATTTGGTCAGCAGGTCCACAGTTCCGTGCGCAGCATGATGCTTCCCGTGCGGTGCCCAGCGGATCCCATGCCCCTGGGGTCCGGGATGTTTATTACTATTATTCTATATCTGGATCAATAGATTCCTGAAGAAATAAATGGCTCTGTTAGTTATTTACACACGGGAAATGGACCCGCGCAAGTCAGAACTAGGATCCACGACACTGTCGCACACCAGAAAAAAAAGGCCGATTGGATCGATCGGTGTTCTCATATTTTGTGTATAAGGGGAAGAAAAGTTCGGCCTGAGGATGAAGGACCCGGCACCCCGCGCCAGACATTTGCGAAATTGCTCGTGGGAGAAACGCAGATCGAAATCCCGTTTTCGCAAGCCGGAAAAAAAAACATATTGGACCCCAAATGTCGGAAGCGACGCGCCGTTCAGGTCAGCGGATACATGTATCGCTCTCTTTTCGGTTTCGTGCCTCCTCCCTCCTCCTTCCCCTCTCCGTCCTAGGAAGACCCCCGCTTTCCCCGTAGAGTAATAGCTTTGGTCAGCAGAACCACAGTTCCGTGCGTAGCATGATACTTCACGTGCGGTGCCCCGCGGATCCCATTTCCCCTGAGTCCGGGATGCTTATTATAAGTATACATATATATAAATAGTTATACATATATATATATACTTTTAGATATACATATACATATATATATATATATATATATCCGGGAAAATAAATGAATCCATTGGTTTTTCACACACGTGAGATCGGATCCGCGCAAGACGGAAATAGGATCCACGACACTGTCGCACACCCGATAAAATTATCAAGTCGGATCCATCGGTGTTTTCATATTCTTTTTCTAAGAGGAAGATGCGTTCGGCCTGGGGATGAAGGCTCGTGCCTCCTCCCTCCTCCTTCCCATCTCCGTCCTAGGAGGACCCCCCTTTCCCCCCATTGAATCGTACCTTTGGTCCGCAGATCCACAGTTCCGTGCGTAGCATGATACTTCAAGTGCGGTGCCACGCGAATATCATTCCCCCTGGGCCCTGGAGGCTTATCACTAGTGTAATGATAAGTGTATCTATATATATATATATATATGTATGTGTATGTGTGCTCCTGAAGAAAAACAATTGGTTTTGTTTTTCACACGCGGGAAATTGGACCTGCGTAAAACAAATAGGATCCACGACACTGTCGCACACCCGGAAAAAAAAGGATCCGATTGGGTCTATCGGTGTTCTCATATGCTCAGCCGAAGAGAAAAATCCGGCCTGGGGACGAACGACCCAGCACCCCGCGCCAGACACTCGCGAAAGTGTCAGTGGGAGAAACGCAGATCGAAATTCCGCTTACGAAAGCCGAGAAAAATCCTCTTGAGCCCCAAATGTCGGAAGCGACGTGCCGTTCAGGTCAGCGGATACATTTATCGCTCTCTTCGGCTTCGTGCCTCCTCCCTCCTCCTTCCCCTCTCCGTCCTAGAAAGACCCCCCCTTTCCCCCCGTAGAGTCATAGCGTTGTTCAGCAGAACAACAGTTCCGTGGATAGCATGATGCTTCACGTGCGGTGCCCCGCGGATCCCATTTCCCCTGGGTCCGGGATGCTTATTATTATTATTACTACTACTACTATTATTATTATGCATGTATTCCCGAAAAAATACAGGAACCACTGGTTTTTCACACGCGGGAAATTGGATCTGCGCAAGACAGAAATAAGATCCACGACACTGTCGCACACCCGAAAAAAAGATCCAATTGGATCCATCGGTGTTCTCATATTTTTAATCCAAGCAGAAAACCTGCGACTTGGGGATGTATCTGCCATCTCCGGGGCGCTATATCCCCCAACGTCGACCGACGCCACCTCGCCGGTGGCGCTCCAACGTCCAACGCCAGCGACGGGCCGCCTCCGGCCGACGCGGCGCGGGACTGCCGTGGGGGCTATACAGTGATCCTCCTCCTCCTCCTCCTCCTCATCCTCCTCCTCCTCCCTCCCTCCCTCCCTCCCTCCCTCCCTGCCTCCCTCCCTCCCTCCCTCCCTCCCTGCCTCCCTCCCTCCCTCCTTCCTCCTCCTCCTCCTCCAACTTCTGGCGGGGGGTGGCCGCGAACAGGGTGCGCGTGGGAGCTCGAACACAAGAAACCGTCCACGAGAAACGCTGAGAATCTCTGAGGCCCGGCGGCTCTGGAGGGTGTCTCGGGCGCCGCGGCATCCTCGGAGAGTTCCCGAGCACTTTGGAAGAGCGTTGCGGAGCGCTCTGGACGAGTTCATCCTCGTCCTAGACCCGTCCGACTGGCGCGTGAAGGGACAGCCGGGGTACAGTAGGAGCTCGACCACAAGAAGCCTTCCACAAGAAACGCAACCCTGAGACACCAGGACGCCCATGGATATTGGGCGTGTGGACGTCGCGCTTTCCACAACAGACACCAGCGAAACCCACTAAACCCAGGGCACCCTGGAGGCAAGCAGGGCGTCTCTTGGCATGGGCTTCCACTGTAGCAGCACGCCAACGCCGCATCGACAACCCGAAGCTGTGGGGCCTGTCTGGCCTGCCGAAAATCATGTTTTTCTTGCCCCTGAGAAGAGGGGGAGAGAGAGGAGGAGGAGGAGGAGGAGGAGGAGGAGGAGGAGGAGGAGGAGGAGGAAGAGGTTGGTAGGAGCGTCTGAGGGGGGACCAGCGTCTTCATACCGACCTAGGGCCGACGAGGCCGCCTGCGGCCTGATTTGCCGAGGGGCAGGTCGACAGCTTGGAGGGCAGCTCTCGCCAGGCTTTGGGCGGCCTCCTGAGAGAAGAGATTGGGTGGGCCTTACTCTCTTGGTGGGCCAACCGATAAAGCTGAAAATCGAACGCGGTAAAACGGAAAGCTTCAGGGCTGGGGTGGATCAGGCCGAGAGCCAGGAGGGGGTCCAGGAAGGGGGCCGCAGGGAGATCCGCTCGAAGCTGTCTACGGGCAAGCATGTACATAGGTGAGCAATGACAAAAACAATGCTTGAGCGAATCGCGGGCCCGCGGACATCCCCAGACACATCGTCTGTACGGGTTGCGCATCCTAGATTCCGTGATCTTCCCTCCTCCCCACGTCTCAATGCAAGCACTGCACCAGGACGGGGGGGCACGATGCATGACCGCCGCAACGGCCGAGGAGGAGGAGGAGGAGGAGGAGGAGGAGGAGGAGGAGGAGGGGGAGGAGGAGGAGGGAGGTGGAAGGGGGAGTAAGAGGATCAAAAGGGAGGAGGGCAAGTCCATGCTGCTGGGAATCTTGATCGGCATCACGAAGTTCGTGCTGTGGCCCGTCGTGGAGAGGATGCCCTTGCGCGTCGACACCTTGTAGCAGGGGCATTCGTAGTGAGGGAAAGCTGTCATCTCGGTCTGCTTGCACGGCAAGATGTGGATCAGGGGCACGCTGACGAACAGTACTTTGGGGTCGGATTCTGCGATCTGCCATGCGTCCCAGTCCCATTTGCAGGCCTCAAAGAAGAGCCCTGAAGCATACACGCCATCGGCTGGCTTGACAGTCGGTTCCTGCTCCTTCGGGTAATCGAAATTGAAAGTCAGAGTGTCGATCGGTATCTTGAACTTACGTGCAAAATTCTGGGAGGCACCGGTCGTGAAAGCCTGCTGAAAGTAGATCCCGCTGAACCAGAACTTCACAGGGGGGCCCTCGTCGACCCACTTCTGGAAGAACTTTAGTCGCTCGATCAAGTCATTGACATAAGCCCCTAGCGGCTTCAGCGACGGGTAGGAGTTCTTCAACCACATTGCAGGAGTCTTTCCTGGAGGAAGAAAACCCTGCATGACAACTTTTGGAGGTCCGCGCGGTTTTCTGAGGTCTACGCTGAGCCCCTCTACCTGGCGAGCGGAGCACGCCAGGGACAGCGCCGGAGGCGTCTCCAGAGGGCCCCCAGCGCCGATCCGAAAAATCCGCGCGGATCCCGGCAGCGTATCTTCGTGCAGCGTTTTGCCCTTCGGCGTCCGTCGAAGATCTCGAAGAAGGCCGTCTCGAGGTCGGAGCTCATGAGGAGCAGCCCCTTGACCGCCTTCTGCATGTCCTGGAGCGAGCTGCGCACCACGCTGGTCAGGCTGTTGAAGCGGCCGAGCTCCTGCGTCAGCACCGTGTTCATGCTCTCCTCGTACCTCGTCGGATACCTCGGCGCCACGCCGCAGGCCACGAGCGGCAGGAGCTCTCGACACTGGAGATCGTGGTGCACATCGATCGTCGAGCCCTGAGCTTCCCGAGGGGCCCCAAGGCTTCTGCGCGTCTCCAGGGCCATCGGGGGATAAAAATCGGGGAGACCTAAGACCCGGGTACGGGGGACTCGGAAATCCCCGACGAGGTCGTCAAAAAAATGACGAGGCCGAGCCTGCATTTTGACGAGGCCTCCCGCTGCAGACATCCCACGAAACTCCTCCTCGTCAAAATCCCAATCGCGGTCGTCAAAAAACGATGGCGAACCCGAGTCCTGGCAAACCCGGGTCTTACGCTCCCCAAAAAAAAACAAATCCGTGGGGCACCAGCTGGCAGGCCGATGTCTTCCTTGACGTGCCTATTGTGCCGATCACGTGCGCATTTGCCCGCCACTATCACGCGATGTGATCATGCCATCCGGCTGCAGCGCCAATGGCTGCAAACAGGCGCGACCACACATCGAGCAATTTGACCTAGCTCATTGTTCGATCGACGATTGCACGCTCGGCCGCAGTGGCACTCGCGATTAGCAACAGCGCGATCGGCATCGCGTGGCGGTGCGCTGGCCAGACAAGGATGCAGCAGGCAAGAGATGCTCAGCGCAAGCAATACCCAGGCTTGCCATCGCACGGACGTCCATTCCCCATGCATTGTTCGGTTTCGTGCGTTGTCCTTCTCTTTCGCTGGAGGATCCAAGATGCTCGTCGATGGTCCTCGCCAAGACAAAATGCACACGTCTGAGCGATGCCAACCAGGTGGCCAGGAGCACATCGGTCGTGGGCCAGCTGCCAGCGACTCCCAACACACACCCCTCGCCCAACGCAGGCAGCGCAAGCTGGACCGATGGCTCCTCGAAATCCCGACCCGCGACGTCATGGTTTTCTCGCGACGAAGACTCCCAGAGATCTGGGCCCCTTCCCTGGGACAGGCGTTTTATCACGAGTCGCTTTTGACAGTCCTGGGACACGGCGAGGGCACCCAGAGGCCGAGAACTGCAGTACAAAACAGCAGACAGCCCAAATTCAAGGACGGAGGTCCGCCGTGACTGCTTCACAGCGCGAACGTGGTCTGGAGAGACGGAGACCGCGGACGGCGCACTCGCCAGCACCCCCAGCCAGGCCTGGCCCCGACGACGAGGCCGCGAGACCCCGGGGCGGCCGCCGAGGCCGCGCGGGCGCGGCCGCACGGAGGCCGCGAGCTCTGGGCGGCGGACCTCTCCTCGATCTTGGCGACGTTGAAGGCTGCCGGGAGCCTTCCGAGCACGTCCTTTGACGATCGAACAACACGCACCCATACCCATAGGGGGGACGGAGGAGGCCATGGGTGCGTGTTGTCGGATGGGGGTCCCCGCTCGAACGGGAGCTTCCCCCAGGGTCCGACAACTCGCACCCATGCCCATAGCCAGTTCCCCTCCTTTCGACCCTCCTAATTATGGGTATGGGTGTTAGTTGTTCGCTCGTCATCCTTGGCGATCTCCCCGACCACCTCCTCGGGTGTCGCGCCTGCGCCGCTGCTGCCCTGAGGGAGAAGCCCGCCAAAGGGAGGCAGCTCGGGCGTTTTGCCAGGGGTGGCCCTGGCCAGGGGTGCCGCAGACCCTTCCAGAGAGATCCAGGGGCCTCCAGGGCACGAGGCCCAGGGGGCCCCCTGGGCCAGGAACCCCCTCGGGAACCACCGAACAGCGGCCAGGTCAGAAGGAGACGGGTGAGACGGAAGGGACGGGAGGAGCAGCAGCACCAGGGGCAAAAGCGACAGGCGGGCGTCCTCCTAGGGCCCGTTCCCGTTCCTGATGGCTCTCTCATGTTTTTTTTCTCTCTCTCTCTCTCTCTCTCTCTCTCTCTCTCTCTGCGCACGCTCTGGTTTGAGCATGCTGACATCTGCTTGCTGCGCGTCGACGCATCCTTCACATGGGGAGGAAGAAGCCTGCGCAAAAAGGCCAAGGACAAGGCCTGCGAATGAGGGAGAAGGGATGCGAAGGAGGGGAGAGGACGAGGACGGAGGAGGACGGAGTAGGTGGAGAGGGAGGAGGGGGCAGGCGAGATTAGGAGAAAAAGGAGGTGGGAAGGAGTTTCCGGACTCGCTCGTTCGTAGGGCCTTTCGTAGCCGAGGATGCTTGTTCTTTGTCTGTAATTGCGCGTGCAGTTGACGTTGTCAGTGCTTAGATTTGGTAGGTTTTCACGGCACTTGATATTTTGTTCTGTTGTAGAGGCTTCCTTCGGAAGCCTGGCAATGAGCGCAGGATCTTTTGATTCGGCCACAGACTGGCAGTGCCAGACTCGCTCTGGCCCGACATTCCACGCCCCCTGCCTGGCTCGAGGTCAGGAGCAGCTCCTCCATCATGGTGTAGGTCTCCCCCATCTCCTTCGTCAGGCTCGCGTTCTCGTGGAACCCGAAGACCCCCGGCGGCGACACGAGCGGCATGCTGCGGATGTGCTCGAGGTGGAGGTCGTGGGAGCTGGGCTCGCCCTCCTACGGAGGGTTGACACCCGAAGGGCAACGCGAGAGAGGCGCCAGGCCAAGACGGGCTGGGAGAAGTGAGGATCGTGTTGACGGCAAATAAACAGCACGTAGGCGTGTTTCCCTGAGCAGCTTGTCTGTAAGGGCTCTACAAACATATACACATGTATACACACATGTGAATGCAAATGTGTGTATGTATATATATATGTATATAGCCGACCCTGTCGGCGTGCGGAAGAGGCTGTTCCATTTCAGTCGTTGTCGTCGTCGTCGTCGTCGTCGTCGTCATCGTCGTCATCGTCGTCGTCGCACCGTCATCGTCGTCGTCGTCGCCGTCGCCGTCGTCGTCGCTGTCGCCGTCGTCGTCGTCGCTGTCGCTGCCCGAAACAAAAGGAAGTCTAACATCGTAGTAATCGTGGCGAAGCTCCTCCCTACCCTCCCCCCGCCGGGGGGGGGTCCAGGGGGGGGGGTCCAGGGAGGGGGTCCCGGGTGAGTCCCGGGGGGGGTCCCGGGAGGGTCCCAGGTCAGAGAAAGAGAAGCCCCAAAACGGTCAAGGGGCCCCAGAGAAGCCCCAAAACGGTCAAGGGGCCCCCCCAGGGGGTCCCAGGGCCCAGAGAAGCCCCAAAACGGTCAAGGGGCCCCCAGGACAGTCCAAGAGGGCCCCCATTCGCCGAACCGTCGCTCGAAGACGCCGAAGTAGCCTCCAGACGGCCCAAGAATTTTCCAAGACTGGCCCCAAGACGGCACAAGAAGACCCCAAGACGGCCCAGAAGCGCCCAAAGAGGCGTCCCAAGAGGGCCCCAAGATGCCAAAATCAACGATTTCCCATTGGTTTTTCAAAGGTTGTGTCGTTTCGGCCTTTTCGGCTTTCCGACGCTCCAAGACGGCCCAAGGCGGCGCCCCCAAGATCGCCCCAAGACGGGCACAAGAGGGTCACAAGGGGGCCCCAAGAGGACCCAAGAGGGGCCCGAGACGGCCCCAAGACGACCCCAAGAGCCGTCCAAGACGGCCCAAGAGGGCGCCGAAACGGCTCCAAGAGGGGCCCCAAAGAGGGACCACGAACGGAAAATGCGAGCTTTCCGCCACCACCACCCAACCCCCACCGCCCCCAAGAGGCCCCTAGTAGGCCCCAGAAGGCCACCCAAGAGGCCCCCAAGAGGCCCCCAAGAAGCCCCTAGAAGCCCCCAAGAAGCCCAACAGAGGCCGCAAGACGCCACCAGGAGCCTCCCAACAGGCCCCCAAGACGCTTCCAAGAGACCCCAAAACTACCCCGGTCGCCGTCGTCGTCGTCGTCGCCGTCGTCGTCGACGTCGCTGTGACCGTCGTCGCCGTCGCCGTCGCCGTCGCCGTCGTCGTCGCCCTTCATGGTCGGCGGCACCAGCCGTAAGGCCTTCGCAATATGTATATAGTCGTGCACATGCAGATATACATACATATAGACATATACAAGTACATACATACATTCTTTCTCTCTTTTGAACCACGATGGACTACAGACAGAGCTCTGAATCACCTCTGGTCTTTCTCTCTTCTTAAACTCCACCTCTAGATCAAATCCGAAACTCACGTAAGTTCCAGGGAATCTCCGAAACAGGGCGCTGGCCCTAGATATTCGAACACCCCTCCTCGGCCTTCGTCGCCGCGGCTGGGCCGAAGCGGAGGGCGAAAGTCCAAAACGAAACCAGCGCCTCGATAATTTTTCACGAGACGTACGCCGGCAAACAGCCGGCGTCAAATATCACAGCACACGGTGCCTCACGGCACCGTCGAACTTCATCGTGAAGCAGATCAGCTTCATCAACCGCTCCATCGTGTCTTGGTCGAGGGCCTTCGTGAACAGGTCCGCCGGGTTCCAGTGCCCCTCGACCGTCTGCAGCAACAGCCTTTTTCTCTGAATACGTTCCTGCAGCCATAGAAATCGAACATCCAAGTGTCGAGCAGCTCCCAGTCCGTCGGCTTGCGATTCCTCTCGCGGCTGAGCCATCGCTGAAAATGCAAAGCTCCATCTCGTAGTCCACCTCAACTCCAAGGTCGGCCAAAGTGGCCTGTACTCCAAAACCGTGGCAGGCTCCACGCAATAGTGCATAGTACTCGGCCTCGCCGCTGCTCAAACTCACCGTGGATTGGACCGAACTGCCATGTTTCAGCAGATGCGTTCCCCATAGAATGGCCATTCCACTTCGGGAACGCCTCGTAATCGGATCACCTGCATAGTCGCTGTCGCAGTAAACACCAACCTTTCTAGGCAGCTTCTGAGCGGGAAACAGCAACATCCCAGCGGGGTACTTCTTCAAGTAGCGGCTAATGCGCTTCAGATCCTCCACGTGGGTCCCTTTCGGCTCCTTCATGCGTCTAGCCTGCATGATCGCGCTGTAGCTGATGTCGGGCCGGTCCAGACTCAGGTACATGATCCGCACGGTCGCGTTGCGGTAGGTCTTCGCCTTCTCGTCGCCCAGCTTCGGCGAGGTCTGGTTACTACTCAGGATCTCCGCAACAGACCTCTTAACAGCCGGGGTAGTCACCTCCTTCGCATTCTCCAAGCCCAGGTCCCTGATCACCTTCTTCACGTGCCGGGCGTCCGCTTCGAGGTAGGCCGAACGCTCGAAGGGGTCCCAGATCAACACCCGGTTGAGATAGACCACGCTCTGTTCCTCCAGGGGCCTGCTGCTCATAATACCCGCGACATTAAAGTCGTAGCGCGAAAGCACGTCATCGAACCACCCCTCCTGGGACTTGCGCATAATCACACCAAAGTCGTCGCCGTGGACCTCCGCTTGTATATGACGCTCGGCGTGGTACAGCAGCGCTGGGTTCGGGGCGCTCTTCTTGAAGCCGTGCGAGCTCGTCAGGCCGACGTAGTCGTCTTGCCACACATGACTTGCGTCCACTGCGCCGTACATCGTCTTGAGTAGCCTGCCCACCATGGGTTCCGGATCGTCGTAGGTCTCCTCCTCGGGTAACTCCACATACACCTCGAGATTCACATCTCCATAGAAGTGCGCCCTCGGGATGTCGTAAAACTTGTAAATGATCTCCTCTGTCGCCGTCGTGGTAGGCGTCGTTCACGCGGCCGACGAAGATGGTCACCATCGCCTTGAACGCTTCCAGCGGTGGCATGGCCGAGAATAGTTCAGCTTGATATGGTCGATCTTCGGACCTCATAGCTTTCTTGATCTCCCTCGCGACCAGCCTCGAGCGATGCCGTGGTTGAGTTCGGTCGCCCTTGTTCGTGTCGATCAATTTCAAGGTCACTGCCTTCGTGCCGTTCTCGAGCATCTCGCGTCTAGGTACCTTCTTCCATACCTGCCCCCCGCGGCACCAATCCAGTTATTCTTGCCTCGCGGCTCGCACACCCTCGGAGTCCAAAATCTCACCCGTGAGATCGTCGATGAAGTAGTCGCCCTGGTACTCAGCGAACACCTCAGTATCCTCTTCATGCGGGCGTGGTCCTCCACAGAGAGCTGCAAGTAGGTTGAGCCCTTCTCGTCGTCGAAGCTCCCCTCGTAGGCCTTTGAGAATAGCTGCCACCATGCTCGGAGGGCATCGTTGTGCATGTTTGGCGCGTCCGTCAACCAGGTGAACATGGCGAGCGAATTCTCCGTTCGGACCCCTGGGGCACCGGCAGTAGCCATTGAGGATATCGGCGAGCAGCTCGCCGTTAGTGAGGCACCCGGTCTCCTTCCGAACGAAGCCCAACTTTCCTTTGGAGTCGGTCGCCTGCATGTGCCAGCGGCACATAGGTCCATGGACTAAGAATACGCCTGCCAACTGTATGACCTCCTGAACGCTTGGGCGGTGCCAGCTACTCGCTGACCAAGGTGCTTCGTGAAGAAATAGCTTCCCTGCCTTGTAGCGCTCCTTGCAGATTTCCATGCTGAGGTGCGTCTCGCCTTCCAGGATCTCCGCCTCCACGATCTTCGGGTCTCGCTTTGAGTCCGAGAGCGTCCGCAAGTTGCTGAATGGCGTGCACGGGGGGCTGGTGATCGTCAGCAGCGGGTCTTCGTCCTTCAGCTGCTTCTTGCACTCCTTTCGTTGGTCGGGCAATCGCAGATCCCAACCAGTCTCGATATCCACTGCCAGGCCGTGCGCGAGGCCGTACCTGAACGTTATCTCTGCAAACCTTCTCGGCGAATAAACCTCCGCAGCGTCCACTGCGCACGTCTCGGTAAGAAGTGACGCGATCTCCTCCGCCTGCTCTGCGTCGTTCACGTTGGCGTTTGTCCGCATCTCGAACATCGCCAGCTCCTAGATCATGCTAAACGTGCGGCCTTTGTCGTAGCCGTTGATCCGCCCCAGGAAGTCGACGTCCATCGATCCATCTGGAGCCCGGCTCGGTATCGACACCGATGCCGATGCTGAACTTGATGACGCTGCCTGGGACATCGCTGCGTCGACCAGGTCCTCCACGTCCATCTGCGCCCCCCCCCTGGGGCGCCGCTCGCTTGAGCGCGAGCCGAGCTTCAGCAGTTGCAGGTGCTGAGCTTCCTCTCGCATCGCCTCGTACCTGGGTAGCTCGTCCAGGGTCGGGCGCGCCTCCTCGGCGCCTCCTGGCAGCGCTCGGTTCGCTTCCGCTGCCTCCGGCCGGCACCACCGCCTCTCGGTGCCCCTCGGCTCTGGGGCAGGAGCTCGATCGCCGTCTCCAGAGGGCGGCGGTAGGGCAGCTTGGTCTCCTCCAGCTGCTTCTCGACCTCGAACACCTCGACCGCGTACTGCTTGGTCTCCGGCTCGAAAGTGATGTTCGGCAACTCGTACTCGATCTTCATCGTTACCCATCATTAGCTCTGCGATCCTGTCGCGGCACTCGTCGCTGTGGGATTTCGTGATCTTGCCCGTCTGCGTCAGCTCCAGACATCCTAGACAGCCCGCAGTGGCACCATACTTCTCGATGTCGCGGCGTAGGACGCACCTCGCTCGCGGGGCTCGTGGCTCCATCCGAACGGTAGCCACCGCCGGCGCTCTCGCCAGAGCGGGCGCCTCCTCCTCCGGGCGAGTCGCCCAGGGAACTCCTCGAAGAGCTGCCCAGTCCTTACTGTCCCAGGCTTGCTCCTTCGGCAGTTTCTTGAAACCTTGGGCCTTCTCCACACCGTCAACCGTCATGACGAGCAGGGCCCCCGTCCGCATGTGGTAGCCCAGGAAGTTCCCGGACTCCACGCGCTCCTCCGCGGTACTCCTGCGACCTCCTGGCGCGAGCGGCCTGTTCATCACCCGCTCGCCAAACTCTGCTTCCAGCTTCCTCCAGTCGCGGCCTGAGCGCCGCTGTTCTCCAGCGAGGCCGTCGGTTCCGCGTCGGTACCGGCCAATGCAGGCCGCGGCGTACTGGGGTAGCCACTTCAAGATCGGGTGGTCATCATCCACCTTCCTGCCGAGCTTGGCCTCCAGCGCGTACCTGATCGCCCTGACCTGCCTCTTGACCTCTCGCACGGCAACCTCGATGCCTCCGTTGCTATGGTGCTCTCCTGCTGGCGATTCTCGAGGCGGGAACTCCACAATCGGCGTCGCCACCGCGACCGCCGTCTTGAGCGCCACGATCGCGGGCCCCCCGTCGCTCTGGAAGATCAGCCCGTGGCCGCCGAGGTGCAGGATGAAGCTCATCAGAATCTCGATCATGAAGTTGGCGACCTTCTTGCCCGGAATCGCTGTCGAGTAGGGCAGCTTCGCCCTAGAATCTCTGGCCACCAGCATCGGCAAGTTGCCGCCCTGGCCCTCGCCCCCCCCGCCGGTCTCCTCGCCCGTGAACGCGAAGCCGAGGGCCACAACCGGATCTGCACCTTCACGAACTTCAGCTTGTAGTTCATGAGGCTAGCGAAGCCCGCGAGCTGCACAACAAACTTCAAACCAATCTCGAAATACAGCGTGACCTGTAGCCTCGCGTTGATCAACTTCAGCTCGAGTAGATAGTCGCTTTCGTCCTTGCACTTTCGCTGGCGCAACCTCCTGGGGATTACCGTCATAGTCCTCGTCGTCTCCGATCCCTTCTCGTACTTCAGCTGGCTGGGCAGCGGGATCTCTACTCCCTAGCGCTGCCGCTGGTGGTCTTACGGGCGGCCCCGCTGCCGGCGACTCCGGCGGCTCCGAGGCGCTCGCGCCCCCCACGGGACCGTTGCCTGCCAGTGAGGGCCCGCGCTCGCCGGCGCCCACGGACAGAGCTCGGCAACAGGAGTCGACCCCGACGAAGTGGCACCGCCAGGTTGGTCCATCAGCACGTCCATCTTGTAGACTCCGTCCCGCAGGTACAGCGGCGCGATGCCCTCGTTGCCCTCAGCCACGCACCGGTCGATCATCCGGTGGATCTTCTGCGTAAACTCGCTCTCCTTCAGGAGGTAGCCGCCGAAGGCGCCGACCCACGTGAAGTGGCCCTTGGCGGCGGCGGCCGAGGCGGACAGGAGCGGCTTGCCGATGTTCGCGCGCCTGCCCTTCAGGAACACTCTCGCCGTACTCCGACACTCCTTTGATGCCGACGCCGCCCTCGTCCTCTACGATCTTGCGGGTGGCCGTGCGGCATGAGCTGCCGTCGGCCTCGGTGCACTCGCCCTCCTGCTCGAGCGGGAAGGCCGCGGCAGCGGCGCCGGTGTCGAACGTCATCGCAATGCACTTCCTGTACTGCTTCTCACCCGTCGCCTCCACGCTGTTCAGCTCCAGCACGCGCTCGAAGGCGTCGAAGCTGAGCGCGGCGGGTGACTGGTTGCATACGCCGGCCTGTGAGGCCGACGTCGGTAGCTGCGTGCTGATCGCGCTCTGCGCGCCGCCCTCGAAGTTGTTGAGGTAGCCTCGGCGAACGCCTTGCTGTTGGAAACGCTGACCCCACGGATCCTCGCCATATCATTAGCCCTTGCCTTTGTCATCCTCACTTCCTCTCTCGGTGGGCCCCCAGCAGTCTTGCGCACGATGGCCCTTCTTTCGGCAGATCCAGCAGGTCACGTTCCAGTTGTCCGTCTTCCCTTTTCCGCTGCCGGTCTTGCCCTTGCCATCTTTGCCCTTGCCCTTGCCCTTGCCGTGCTTGCCCTTGCCGTCGCCTATCCTGACGAACGCGTCGACCTCCATCGGGTCGCCTCTCGACCGACCAAGGGCTCCTTGAGCTTGTCTGGTCTCCAGGAAGCTCCTGACTCGCATCGCAGCGTAGTCCTGGAGTCTGGCGCGGTTGAGGGCAAGGTGCACCTCGACGTCCTGCGGCACGAGGCTCTCGAGCGCACTCATCTTGATTTCGTCGTCTAGGTGTACGTCTCGCCCGTCGGCTCTGCGCCTCTCGTAGCGCCTGACCAGCTCTTCCAATTTCACAACCTCTGCGGCCAAGTTCTCGAGCTTTGCAGCCCTGGTCGGCGCCGTGATTTTCTTGAGTAGCACGCGGCGGCGACCGGATCCCAGCGCCGCACCAGCAATCGTAGGGCTTCAGCTCCATTGCCTTGGCCTGCGCTGACCACCAGGTCGAAGGACTCGCCCTCCGTGAGCGAGACGAACACCGCGTAGAGCTGCGAGAACTTCTCGTCCACATTGTCGACTGCCTCGCCGTCCTCGGCCGCAGCGGCCGTGGTGAGCATGACCGTGTCGTTCGCCTGGTCGACTGCCCACTCGATCACCGGCCGGAAGTTCACGCCGAAGACGCTGAGCACGTAGCTATTGAGCTTCTGGAGCCAGTCGCTGAACTTCGACTCTTCATTCTTGAAGGCCTGTGGCTTCCCGATATCCTTCGCTTGAATCAGCTGGGCCGCCGGTGGCGGCGGCCGTTCTGCGACTCTCTCGAGCACCTCGCCGAGCCGTCTGATGATCTCAGGCTCTCCGGCCTGGTCTGCCTGTCGCTGGAGCGCGGCGTTCTGTTGCCGTAGATCGTGTATGTCCTGTCGAGCCTGTTGCACTGCGTCGCGCATCTCGTTGAACGTCTCTGGGTTGAGCGCCATCTCGAAGACCGAATCGCTCAGCTCCCCTGTGATTCTTCACGTAGTTCAAGCACTGCCCGAACTCGTGCCAGTAACCCTTCAGTCGGCTGAACCGAATCAACTTCAGCACGGTCCGTTGCCAGTCGTCCTCGACGCCCACCTGAGTCCAACGCTCGTGGGTGTCTGTCGCGGAGCTCGTAGTCCCGAACTCCGTCGTCTCGATCTGTTGTGCCGCCAGTAGCGGATCTCGCGCGCGCTGGCGCGCGGGTGTGAAGAGTGGCGGGACTGGGAGCTGGAGCTAGTCCAGCTCCGCTACCATCTTTCTATCTTTTGAACCACGATGGACTACAGACAGAGCTCTGAATCACCTCTGGTCTTTCTCTCTTCATAAACTCCACCTCTAGATCAAATCCGAAACTCACTTAAGCTCCAGGGAATATCCGAAACAGGGCGCTGGCCCGAGATATCCGAACATACATACATACATACATACATACATACATATATACATACATACATGCATACATACATTCATACATACATACATTTGCGCATGCATACATACATACATACATACATACATACAGACAGACAGACAGACAGACAGACGTACATACATACATGCATGCATACATACATACATACATGCATATACATACATACACACATGCATACAAACAGGCAGACAGGCAGACTGACTGACAGGCATACACACATACAGACAGGCACACATACGCACCTGAATACATACACACGTGCACACAAACATGCATACATACATACATACACACATACATGCATACATGCATGCATACATACATAAATGCATGCATGCATGTATGCATGCATAACTGCCTAGCTACTAGCTACCTACCTACCTGCCGACTTACCTGCCTACTTACATACCTACATGCATGCATGCATCGATGAGTGTGCGTTCTGAGACTGGTGGGTGCCTCGCCGGATGCCGGATCCGTGGCCCGTGGTCACTGGCCGCGGCCTCTGGTCGTGGCCCGCGGTCTCTGGTCCTGGCTAGTGGTCTCCCGTCCAGGGCTGGACCTAAACGGTGTTTTTCGTTTTCGTTTTGTTTTCGTTGTCCCTCGTTTTGTCTTCAATCCGCCTTTACCGCAAAACAAAATAGAAACGAAACGGCCCACGAAATCGCCAAAACACCGTTTAGGTCCAGCCCTGCTCCTGTCCGTGGTGTCTGGTCGTGGGTGTCTGGTCAGAGTTCGTGGTCACGCGGCTTCTGGTCGTGGAGGTCGACTGAAGCAGATCGCATGTAGCTGCTGCACAAGAGAAGGATCGAATCGAACTATAATCAGGCAAAGCATTCTACCCCCACAGTGCAGCGTTGCTCATAGAGTTTCTACCTACACAACAACAGTTGCACCATCGATAGATGGATGTGAAGATAACTGCATCCATTAAGGGAATGCATGCAAGCTGTAGGCATGTAACTGAACGCACAAGTGTGGTGTAGAAGCGTGTCGGAGCAAGTTCTCTACATACTGCTCCTCTTGGTAAACAAAACATATATCCAGGGTCTGATTCCGCCAAGGGTGCAATTCACAACCGCACCGTATCCTTCCCAGCGCAGGCAAGCTCTATTCATACGTCTGCGCGCGCCTTCGGCAAGGCTTCCTCCCTACCATCTAGCATCCCGAGCTCGCCCTTTGCCTGCATCCCACGAGGGAGCGCACTGGCCTGGGACTCTCCACCAACGACCCCTTTCAACTGCCACCCACAAGCTCCTGGGTGGGCATGGACACACGTGGTGGCGGCAGATACCGGAGGCCGTTGTCCTCAAAGATGACAAAGTCGTCGGAGAGGGCCTCTGGTCGGTAGTACTGGCGCAGTAAAACCATGAGCAGCCGCCGGTCCATATTCTCTGTCACGCGCCCGCCATAGTTGCATTCGCCAGTGAGATAATTGAGGGCTTTTAAGGGCGTCTCGTCTGGATACTCGTCCAGGAACATCTGCAATTGGCGCACAGATATGCGGAGATCGTTCTCGGTGAACTCGTAAGGAATGTTCCAGCCAAGAGGGCCATAAAGACGCCTTTCCTGAATCACGGCGTGGAAGAAGCACAGGTTGAATGTCAACCTCTTGAAGGTGTGGTCCTGATGGCAGCCGTCGAAGAACTCCGAGTTCGATATGGGGTCCGTCATGTATGATCCGGTCATATTCGCTCGCAAGCCCTTCGGAGCTTCGTTCGTCATCTTCACGCCGCTCTGGAGGATCGCCACGGGGAAGCGGTTGGACGGGTAAGAGGTCAGCCACAGCCGGAAGTCGCGGTGCACGGACTTGGGGTCCTGCCAGGACTGGACCTAAGCGCTGTTTTTCGTTATGTTCTCGTTTTGTAGTTTCGTTTTGCTCTACCTGTTTTCCTGTACCTCTTTGTCAAAATGAGAAACACAGCACGGCCGAAGTCCAGCAAAACAGCGTTTGGGTCCAGCCCTGGGTCCTGCTCCTCGAGGATCCGCTCCAGCTTGGGCATCCACGACGTGGCCAGGTGGCAGTTCTGGAGCAGCACCCACCCGCCGGAGGCGGTCGCGGCGTTCATCAGCTTCTCCGCCTTTGGACCCTGGCCCTGCCCAAGCGAGATGGAGCTGATCTCCTTGTTCTTCTCGACCGCGAACTTGAACAGAGAGCTCCCGGGATCGGCGCCGGGGGAGAGCACGAAGATCAGGGGCGTCATGTTGGTGGAGTCCGCGTAGGAGCCCGACAGGTCAAAGGGGGGCGGAGTCACAAACTTCTCCCCGATCTTGGCGGAGATGAAGTCCAGCACGGCGGGCACCTTGGAAGCGCTCCCCCAAAACCCTGATCTGGGCTGATCCGAGGTCAGGCTTCGATTCCCTTCTGGCCGACCTGGTCCGCTCCAAAGTGCCGAGCGTTTGCCTTTGATCGAGACCCCGATCGATCGGCACGACCCTCATCGATCGATCAGGGTCGTCGTCAAGGGCCCGCGATCGAGCCCGGACCGACGGATCGGGATCTCCTGTGGCGGGAACCACCCTGTCGGGCCGCACGCAGCGAAGCACGAGGACGTCCTGCAGCTCGTTCAGGCCCTCCATCACCTTTGGCCGCGTGGCCTCGTCCTTGATGATGCTCATGGGGTTCACATCGTCGTAGACCCTCTTCCACGCGTCGATCTCCTCGGCGAAGCGCTCGTGAAAGCGGTCGTAGCGCTCTGCCACCCTCGAGAGGCGGAAGAGCTCGGACCACGCCCTGTCCGTCAGCCACTCGGCCGGCTTGGGGGGCGGGTCCTCCAGCGAGACGCCCCCAGTCAGGAGGAAGCGGTAGTCGTCACCGCCAGCCTCTTTTGCCTGGAGCAGGCCGCGCATGCAGAGGAGGAACGAGAAGAGCGTCTTGTGCTTCTCGAAGAGGCTGCGGCAAATGTTGCAGTAGAGCGTGAAGCGGAACGTGTCGTTCAGGAGCTCGATGCGCGTCTCCAGGTCATCGCTCTGCTCCGTCTTGTCGATCGACACGAGGAAGAGCGACACGAAGAACGGCAGGGAGTACTGGTACATGGGGTCGATGTTCGCCATGTCGGCGATGCAGAAGAAGAGGACGGCGGCCTTCTCGGCGACCGGCACGTAGCCCTCGCGGGCCTCGTCGATCTGCTTCTCCGTCTCCTCGGCGACCTCCTGCTTTGCGGCGATCTTGTTTGCCAGCTCCTTGCTGGAGCTCAGGACATTGATCGCAGATTCGTCCTCCAGAATGTTGCCCTGCGAGGTTTGCAACACATGCAGGATCTTGTTCTCGGTCTCCTCGAGCTGTTCCTTGTTCTTTGCGCCTTCAACCACCAGCCGCGCTTTCTCATCGGCGAGCTCGGGCCGCTCCTTTTGGACGACGATGTTGAGGAGCTGGTCTTGAAGGCCAACACCTGTGATCATGAAATTGAGGATTGTGACCTTGACTGCAACCTCAGGAAGGTAGTGCGGATTGCGGAGCTTCGTAGTGAGGTAAAGCTTGAATCCCTTGGAATACTCAAGTGTCTGGTCGCCAAGCTTGATCATCATACGATTCCCCTGCTTGTACGTCTGCTTGAGCAGGACAGGCTCAATGGCTGGGTCCGTCTCCTGCAGGATGTTCTCGATGAGGAACGGGGTGCCATAGCTGAGGCTACCCTCCAAGTGCCTGAGGTAGTCACCGTCGGTGAACTTGACAATCTTGCACTTCTGTGGCGCCTCCATCTTCTTGATCCACTTGTTGGCCTGCCCCTCAGGGTCGATGCACAACGGCCACCGGCGAGCCTTGTCCACGATGATGCCATTCTCGATGGAGAACGCGTCGTTGGGAAGGCCCCAAATCGTCCAGTTTCGGATCTTCACTGGCTCACCGAGGCACTTCACCAGAGAGAAGGTCGCGGAGCCAGGGATGCTCTTCTCCTGCGAAATCGTCGCCCAACTTGCCACTGCCCGCTCGCGGAAGTCGGGCGTGAATGCTCCGAGGTAGGCGATCAGGCCGCTGGCGACGATCGCGTCGCCGGTGAGGCTGACGTAGTCGTTGCCGAGATCTATGGCGTTCTGCGTCCACCTGGCCTTCTCACCCCCCAGGGACTCGATGAGCGTCTCGGCGCGTGTGATCTTCTTCTCGCACAGGTCCACCTGGTAGGCCAGGTCGTCCTTCTCCGCGTTGAGGGCGTTCAGCTTCGCCTCGAGCTGCGCAAGCTCGTCGAGCACCTTCCGCAGCGCGGCGCGCTTATCGTTCAGCGCCGCCATCACGACGGCCAGCTCTGCCTCCGCCGTCGCCAGGGCCTCCTTCTTCGGGCCGACCACCTTCGCGGTGCGGTCGTAGACCTCCATGGCGCGGACCCACATGCAGATGCCGAAGGCCGCGGTGCTGCAGGTCTTCACCCGCTCGGGCTGGAAGTCGTCGAGAGGGGTGAGGGTAGCGACCCTCTTGATCGTCGCCGCTGGGATGTCATCCTTGTCGAAGGTGGTCAAGGATTGCAGGAATCCGTTCTCGCTGACCATCTTCAGGGAGGGCTGCCAGTAGTCCTCCACCATCTTCCCGCCCTCGTCCTTCACGCGTGCAGGCTTGACGTTCTTGAGCAAGCACACCGCCTGCAGCACAAGCTTCACTGGCGCTGGCGGGTGTTTCATCGCCTTGATCTCCCCGATATCCTTGGCGGTGAGCGTGTCAAGGGCTGACAGCGCCTCGTTCAGTGCTGGCATGGCCTCTGCGAGATCCGCCTCCACTTCTGCCTTCTGCGCCTCTGACTTGGCCGCCGACTCAGCAGCCACAGCCTCGTCTGCAGCTACAACCTCTTTGACTTTCGCTGTCTTCTCCGACTCCGCGTTGACGACTACCATCATTTTCTCAACCTCCTCGTTCTTGGCGATGAGCTTGGGCTGCAGATCAATGAGCTCGACCTTCATGCCGGCCACCGACGTCTCCGTGGTCAGGATCTTTTCAAGTCCCTTCTCGTACTTGTCCTTCAGATCTGTGACCTGGCGACGCTTCGCCGAGAGCAGGGCCTTGAAAGTCTGTATTAGCTCGAGGAAGGACGTCGGGGTGACGTAGTAGATGCGTTTCATCTGGCTCTTGAACTCCGCTCCCAGGTCGCGCGTCGCCGAGTGGAAAATAGAGCACATCTGCACGCAGCTTGCCCGCACCGAGTCCTCCAGCTCCACCTCGCCGAGGAAGCGCTCGGCGACCGCGGTGAGCGCGTCCTGTGGCCACGTCGTGAACCAGTCGATCGTGCAGCAGTTGACCTCGGCGCCATGGGGGCAGGGGCAGGCGTCGGGCGCTGCCCTGCGCACGGGCGGGGGGACCTTCCAAGAAGGCCTGGAGCGGGTCTGGGGGGGGGGGATGGGGGGGGGGGGGGCAAGTCTGATGAGGAAGGGCCGTGCTTCCTTCTTGGAAGGACGGCTCCCGACCCCCCTTGGGGAAGCTCCTCGGCGGCCGTGCCTCCGAGCGCCCCGTGCCGCCCGTGCCACGGAGCCCCGCGGGAACGCCTTCGCCGCGCCTCCCTCCCTCGCCCCCTGCCGCGGGAGAGGAGGAGGAGGGGGATGAGTGGGAGGACGGAGGAGGAGGAGGAGGAGGAGGAGGAGGAGGAGGAGGAGGAGGAGGAGGAGGATGGAGGAGGGGGATGAGTGGGAGGACGGAGGAGGATGGAGGGAGGGAGAAGAAGCGCAGAGCGAAGAAAATGGAGGGTGGCGGAGGGGAGAGCAGCATCCACCGCCGTGCCTGCACGGAGGTGGGCGTGCCAGAACGCCCCCACTCCCCCCCGCCCCCCTCCCCCAGGACTTGCTCTCCGGCGCATGGTGGCCTGGGGGTCCTCTGGCGGGGGGGGCGGGGGCGGGCATGCTCATCACAGAGCGGGCGCACTCCTGCGCCTCCGCCCCTCTCCAGCACTGCCAGGCCGGCCAGTCCTGGAGAGCTACTGCGCTAAAGGCGGCCGGGGGGCGCCCGACCGCCCCCCGCACGCGCCTCCAGGAGCACGAAGGCCAGGCAGTGGGGAAACCAAAAGGTACCGATACCGCTACTCGGCAGACCTCTCCCAGGGTGCGTTCTGACCAGAATTTCGAGGCGAGCCCAGCGGTGGCGACGAAGGCATCCCAGGAGGCTCAAAAAGGGGAAAGCGAGGGGGAAGGGCAGCGGGATAGGCACCTCTGCCTCCAGCTTCGGCAGTGGATGGAGGAGGAGGGGTCCCACCCCGCCGCACCTCCACCCCTCCCGGCGGACCACCAGCACTGCCCCCTCGTTTGGCCCCTCGGCTCCCCCGCCCCCCCGCACACCCCTCACCGGTGGTCCACCCCGGGGTGGCTCGGCCCGCCGGCCGAGCCCCCCCGCCGCGCCGCGCTCGCCGCCCCCTGTCGTCCTCCCGCGCTCGTGCGCGGGTCCCTCGGCTCGTCGTCCTCCTCCTCCTCCTCCTCCTCCTCCCTCCCCCTCCTCCTCCTCCTCCTCCTCCTCCTCCTCCTCCTCCTCCTCTCTCCTCCCCCCGTCGGCCGCGGTGTCGTTCCCCCGACGTCGCGCTCGTCGGCCCCGCCAGCGGCCGCCGGCGCGCCGCTTTCCGGACGGCCCCCTCCGTGCCACAGGGCAGGGAGGGGGCACGAGCTTCTTCGGGTCCATACGGGTCAGCACAAACCGAGGCACCCTTCAGCGGCGGCATGAGGAGGGAGGAGGAGGAGGAGGAGGAGGAGGAGGACCAATGTAAACCCAAGAGTCATCAACGATGTTGGAATGAACCCTCCCTCCAAGCTCCATCTCCATAGGCCCCTAGAACGGTTCATGTCCATCGAGGGAACTGCCTCGTTGGAAGACGACCGCTTGAAGACCCTGAAGCATGCCAAAACATTGTTCTCGTAAGTTTAACGCCATGGATCAACCTGACTGCTGCGTCTTGACGATCCGGAATCGTACCAGAACGCCATAATGGGGACTTCAAAACCGCGAATCAACATAACTGCTGCACCCGCTTAATTCTGAGTCCTTCCAAAACACCATTTCTGGTACGCTGGTCATGGGAATCCGTTTGAAAACGAGTGTGCGCGGCACCAAAGCGAGAGCCACATCTTCAAAAAAGAACCGCCCTCAATCCGTGAAACTCTTGCAAATGTTTGAAAAGAATGTGCGCGGCGCTAAAGCAAGAGTCACAGTTTGAAAGAGAACCGCCCTCAATCCGTGAAACAATTGCAAATGTTTGAAACGAATGTGCGCGGCGCTAATGCGAGAGCAACAGTTTGAAAACCACTCGCCCTCAATCCGTGAAACTCTTGCAAATGGTTGAATCGAATGTGCGCGGCGCTAAAGCGAGAGCCACATTTTGAAAACCACCCGCCCTCAATCCGTGAAACTCTTGCAAACGCTTGAATCGAATGTGCGCGGCGCTAAGGCGAGAGCCACATTTTGAAAACCATTCGCCCTCAATCCGAGAAGCTCTTGCAAATGTTTAAAAAGAATGTGCGCGGCGCTGAGGCGAGAGCCACATTTTGAAAACCACCCGCTCTCCATCTGTGAAACTGTTGCCACTCTTTCAGCTTCAGTGAGGAAGTCTCAGGCGAAACGCCCGGCCCGCCCTAAAAACTGGCCTCGGGATGCGACAGGGATACGTTATCTATGAGGGCAAGGAATGGAGGAGGAGGAGGAGGAGGAGGAGGAGGAGGAGGAGGAGGAGGAGGAGGAGGCGGAGGTGGAGGAGGAGGAGAGGAGGCGAGGAGGACGAGGAGGAGGAGGAGGAAAGAGAGGGAGGAAGAGGAGGGGACAGGGATGAGGGAGGGAGAGGAGGAGGGAGGGAGGAGGAGGAGAAGGAGGAGGAGGAGGAGGAGGAGGAGGAGGAGGATTGAGGGGAGGAGGAGGAGGAGGAGGAGGAGGAGGAGGAGGAGGAGGAGGAGGAGGAGGAGGAGAGGAGGAGGGAGGGGAGGGAGGAGAGGGAGGAGGGAGGAGGAGGGAGGGAGGAGGAGTAGGGAGGAGGGAGGAGGAGGAGGAGGAGTTGAGGAGGGAGGAGGGAGAGGAGGGGAGGAGGAGGAGGAGGAGGAGGAGGAGGAGAAAGGGGAGGAGGAGGAGGAGCAGCCCCCAACCCACCCTCCAGGCGGCCGACCAACGAGGGGAACTGGCGCAGCCGGGAGCGCCAGGCGTCCCCGATGGGCGAGAAGCAGAGCTCGATGCACATCATCTTTCGCACCTGGGGGCGGCAAGGGGGGCGGGGGGGGGTAACGGGCGCACGCAGCATGAGGCAAGGAGGGAGGAGCAGCGGGGAGAAGGGAGGAAGGAGGGGAGGAGGGGAGGAGGATGAGGAGGAGGAGGAGGAGGAGGAGGAGGAGGAGGACGAGGAGGAGAGAAGAGGAGGGAGGAGGGAGGAGGAGGAGGGAGGGAGGAGGGAGGAGGGAGGAGGGAAGAGGAGGGAGCTGGAGAAAGGAGGAGGAGGAGGAGGAGGACGAGGAGGAGAGAAGAGGAGGGAGGAGGGAGGAGGGAGGAGGAGGGAGGAGGGAGGAGGGAAGAGGGGGGAGGTGGAGAAGGGAGGAGAAGGAGGAGGAGGAAGGAGGAGGAGGAGGAAGGAGGAGGACCAGAGTAAAATCCAGCAGGCACCTCAGGTAATCGACTAATACCGACATGCTACTCACCAGATCTTTCCCGGAGCGCTTTCTGACCGGGATCTCGAGACGGACCCAGCCGTGGCGACGAGAAGTAGGCAGCGGCATCGGTGCCTATCGTTTCCTCCATAGAGCACCTGGGGTGCTGCAGCACCTCTGGCAGGAACAGATGTTGTTAGCCAACGAGGACCCCGAACAGTAAGTGATTGCACCGCGGATGGAAAAGCTATGCTGTGCAAGCTGGTGGTGCGAGCTCTGTGGTGGAATGTGTGTGGTGCAAGCTAGTATGTAGTGAAAACTATGTTGGGAAAGCTATGAGGTGCCATCTACGCGGTGCAAGCTATGTGGAGTAAGCCATGTGGTGCCAGCTATGTGGTTGAAGCTACGTGATGAGGCGGCAACGAGACGACAACGAGCGGATCGTGGCGAAACATCGGCGAACTCCACCAGCGTGGTGGGCAGCAACGAGGCAGCCACTGACGGCGACGCGGCGAAACCTCGGCGGACCCCCAAAATGGGCAGCAACCTGGCGGCCACGAGGCTGCCACGGGTGGCGACGCGGCAATGCCCTAGAGACACAAGTGAGAAAGCCAAAGTGTAAGCAGTGTTGGGGGAAACTTCCCCGAGGTCCGCGAGGACCTCCGCGAAATAGTATTAGTGTCTATGCCGGGTGTTCGTTCCTCGACGCAGGAGCCCGTTTGTTCATGATTCGCGATAACGCCCGTGACGATGACGATAACGATGACGACGACGATAACGATGATCGTCATCGTCATCGCCATAGTCGTCGTCACCGTCATCGTCAGCATCGCCATCATCATCGTCATCGTCATCGTCATCGTCATCATCATCATCATCATCATCATCATCATCATCATCATCATCATCATCATCATCATCATCATCATCATCATCATCATCATCATCATCATCATCGTCATCATCATCATCATCATCATCATCATCATCATCATCAGCAGCACCCACTGTCATCGTCATCGCCATCGCCATCGTCATAGCCATCGTCATCGTCATCGTCATCGGCATCGTCGTCGTCATCGGCATCGTCATCGTCATCGTCACGCCCGTCCTCGCCAGCTCACCTCGCAGCTCGTGGCCACCGCGGGCTCAGCGCCCACCGCGGCCCGTGGCCGCCGAGGGCCGGGCCCCGCCGAGGCCTCGCAGAGGTCCGTGGCCTCCGGCCGCGGCGGCTGGGCCGTCTTGGGGCCCTCTTGGGGGGCCCTCTGCGGCTCCCTTGGGGGCCTCGTGGGCCGTCTGGGGCCCCTCTGGGATTGAAAAGGGGAGGGCTCGAAAAGCTTGCAAAAAAAACCCTCCGGAAATCAATGCGTGTGGCCTCCCGAGGCCCTCTCGGGGGCCCTCCCAAAGGCCTCCGGAGCCGTCCCGAGACTCTGTTGGACCGTCTGGAGGCCGTCGGAAGCTCTCTTGGGGCCGTCTTGGGGCCCTCTGGAGCCGTTTTGGAGCCCTCTTGGGCCGTCTTGGGGACGACGGTCCCACGATGCCTCCAAAAACCAAGATGGCCCAAGAGATCCCAAAAAACGAGCCAAGAAGCGCCCACGAGGCCCCACTCTAAAGTGAGCTGGGACAAGGGCGAGAGATAGCGAGCGTTTGTCCGCGGCCGTTTGTGTTCAAGCGGCCGGCCGCCAGCATATGACTGCGCCTCATTGCGAGGCATATTACTTGCCATCGGGACCGAAAACATCCTTCGCTTGAGATGGCCTGTCGCTCACGCGACGACCTCCTCCGACTGGGACGATCCTTACTACGATACAACATAGCTGGAGCTGCGCTTCGCCGAAGGCGAAGCTTCTGGTCGAGCCTCCCGGCCCCCTTCAAACTGCCCCTCCGGCAGCCCAAGAGGCCTCCCATAGGTCCTCCAGGAAAGCCCGAAGAGGCAAAGATCATGGATGTTCTGCAGGTTTCTGAAGGGCTTAAGCATTTGCATCAAAACGGCCTTCCGACGGCCAAAGACGGCCCAAGAGGCCCCCAAGATCGCCCAAGAAGCCTCCGAGATGGCCCCAGGACAGCCCAAGAGGCTACCAAGACGGACCCCAAAGGGCCCCAGGACGGCCCAAGAGGCCTCTGAGACGCCCAAGCCATGAAGCGCCCCAAGAGGGCTCCAAGACGTCCCAGAGAGGCTCCCAAGACGGCTTTCGACGGCGTCAGGCAGGCTAGAAACGCCGTAAGACGGCCAAAGAGGCCCCCAAGAAGCCCCCAAAGGCCTGCAAGAGGCCCAAGGAGGCCCCCAAAAGGCTTCCAAAAGGCCCCTGGGAAGCTCCCAGGAGGCCTAAGAATGACCCAAGAAGCTCCCAAGAGGTCTCACCATCCTTCTCCTCATCCTCCGTGTTCCTCCCTCTCCTCATCCTCCTTTTCCTCCCCCACGTATACCCCGAAAGGCTTCCACAACGGCCTAGCGAACGCATGGCCCAGTTGCTTTGCCCAAACGTTTGGCCACATAGTCGCATCCTGACAGGCAGGGGGCGGCGGCGACTCGCCGCAGGCAAATTCGATCCTTGTCTGGCCGGTCCTCCGGGCGACAGGCGTCGGCCGCCGCTTGCCACGATGTGCCACCAAGCGGCGGACAAAAATGGCATGGCACAGCGGGCATGGCATGTGCCTGGCCCCCGACAAGCGCCCTCCGGGGGGGGGGGACCCCTGGCACCCGCTCCACGAAGAAGGCGTACAGCTGCGTCGGGGTGCCCTCGGCGGCCTCCAGCACGGGGGCGGGGCCGAGCGCCCGCGCCAGGAGGGGAAGCTCGTGCCGGGGAGGGGGGGGGCCGACAGGCGAGGGAGGGCGAGGGGCAGGGGGCGCGGGAGGAGGGGGGGAGGCAGGGGGAGAGGGGGGAGGCGCGGCGGAGGCGAGGCGCCCGCACACGTCCAGGGGGGCGGCCCGAGAGCACGGCGGTTGGGCTGGAGCCCCGGACGCACCTTGGACCCCTGCGCGATTCTTGGGCAGGAGAGCTCCCGAAGGAGGAGGGGGTGCGACGACGACGACGACGGGAGGGGAAGGGGGGAAGAGGGGAAGAGGGGAAGAGGGGAAGAGGGAGGGGGGCGCCAAAGGGGAGGCGGGAAGGGAGGAGGGCGGGGCGGGGGAGGGGAGAACGGGGGAGGCCCCACCGCGTGAGCACGCAGAGCCGCTCCGTGGGAGGCGCGCAGAGCCCCAAGGCGGACGGGCGAGCAGTCAGGGGGCAGGCGAGCCCCGGCCGACGGGCGGGCGGGCGGGCCCCAGCGGGCTGGCGTCGCGGAGGCGGGCCGGGGCGGGCGGCGGGCCCTCGCAGGCGGGCGCGCGGGAGGGCCCCGAGAAGGGGGGAGGGGAGAGGGAGAAAGGGGGGAAGCGGAGGAGGAGGAGGAGGAGGAGGAGGAGGAGGCGAGGAGGAGGAGGAGGAGGGGAGGAGGAGGAGGAAAGGGATGCGCTTGACCCTGGATCCACAGGAGGCGCGTCGTCGGCCCCGCGCGGTGCACGGCACGAGAAAGCGCACGAGGCGCAGCGCGCAGGTGCAGGGGAAGAAGCCGGCGGGCGAGGGCCCCTGACCCAGGCGTGAGGCCTCTCCTGATCCTCCTCTTCCTCCTCCTCCACCTCCACCTCCTCCTCCTCCTCCTCCTCCTCCTCCACCTCCTCCTCCTCCTACTCCTACTCCTCCTCCTCCTCCTCCTCCTCGGTCTCCTCCTCCTCCTCCTCCTCCTCCTCCTCCTCCTCCTCCTCCTCCTCCTCCTCCTGGTGGCCCCCCTGGTGGTGGTGGTGGAGGAGGAGGAAGGAGGAGGATCCATGGGGCCCCGGGACACACAAATGTAAAGACACACGAATAAGAGGCTTCCCCATATGCTTCCATCCTTTGGGTTTTTTGTTGCGTCTTCCCCCCCACTTCCCATAGTTTCCCATATGTTCTGGGAGTCGTCGATTCAGTGTGTCTGTGTGTTTTTTTCCCTCCTGAGAGGAGGGCGCAGGAGGCTCGAAAACCCAGTGGGCGAGGGCCCCTGACCCGGGCGTGAGGCCACACCCGGGAGGAGGCTCCATGGGGGCCCCGGGACACACGAATATAAAGACACACGAATAAGAGGTTTCCCCATATGTTTCCATCTTTTTGGGGGGGGTGCGTCTTCCCCCCCACTTCCCACACCCGGGAGGAGGATCCATCGGGCCCAGGGACACACAAAGAAAGACACACGAATAAGAGGCTTCCCCATATGCTTCCATCCTTTGGGGGGGGTTATTGTCTTCCCCCCCACTTCCCATAGTTTCCCATATGTTCTGGGAATCGTCGATTCATTGTGTCTGTGTGTGTGTTTTTTCCCCTCCTGAGAGGAGGGCGTAGGAGGCTCGAAAACCCAGTGGGCGTGCGCCGACCCAGCCAGGAGGAAGGGACCAGGGAAGGGAGAAACTAGAGGAAAAAGAACTATGCACACACACACACACACCGATTCTGGCCAGGCCCATCCTGAGCCCAGGATCGGTGCATACGCCCTCTTACCTTGGGCAGGAAGGCATATGCACCGATCCTGGGTCAAGGACGGGCCTTGCCAGGATCGGTGCATGTGTATAGTTCTCTTCGCCCGAGAGACGGCCGCTGAACCCCCAAAACAGAAAGGCCTGAGGCAGCAGAAAGTTACCGCAGGCTGCCTGCACACCGGATGCCCCTGTAGAAGGGCGTCCAAAAAAAACGAGGCTGCAACGCAAGACTGGACAGTAAGTCCTGAACCAATGGAAATGGGCAGGACACCCAAAGAGGAGCTTCGCCACAGTGAAGACCGGCTTGTCACACGCCCAGCGCCGACTCGAGGGCGAAGGGGGGGACCCAAGGGGGGGAACAGGCGGGACATAGGCCCCGAACTGAAAAGCAGGTTTGGGCAGCAGGAGTGTCCAAGACACCGAGTGAACAAATACATGCACCATAGGAAGAAGTGTAAAGAGGCGAGCGCGCCGAATGCTCACGATGGCGCTGCCTGATTGCACGGCTCTCCACACGACGGACTGAAGGCTGCTACCAACATGCTGAGAAGATAACAGAGCAAGAAGCACGGGAAGGACCCCAGGGGTACAGCCAATGAGCGGAGACCTGGACAGAGCTACAGCGGCAAGAAAGTTGCTGCACCCAGTAGCGTCAAAGAGGCGAGCGCACCGAATGCTCACGATGGCACTGCCTGGTTGAGTGGTCCCACGCACGACGGACTGAGGGCTGCAACCGGCAGAATGCGATGGTGACAGAGCCATCATCGCGGGCAGGACGCCAGAGGGCAGCCGAGAGGCAGAGACTTGGACCGACCTACGGCACGCAAGAAGATAACGGCACCGACGACGCCACGACAGAGTCAACGAGGCGAGGATAGGTATGCAGAAGGCACCCCCGAAATCAACGGCCTGTGCCGCCAGGCTCTGGAAAGATGTCGAGCAATTCCTGCGTTCTGCGAGCGAAACAAGGAAGCCAAGCATCCTTGTCCTCGGGAGGAGACTCCTCGATGCAACAGGCACGGAAACTAAACCCGTTGCCTGCCCTGCACATCTTGGCACTGCGCCAACGTCCACCGCGTGTGACGCGTCAGCAAACAGCACGGTGGTGGAACGCATCTGAGACAATAGAAGAACCCACTGCTAGCTCGCGTCACGGGCCAAAACCTCTTCTTGCACGGCTTGCAGGTCGGAAGATGCGGAGTGCCAAAACCCTCCCCTTCGTCCCGCCGTGGTCGCTGACAGAGGCCTCGGAAGCAACGTGCACGGGCAAGGGAGGCCGCTCGTGCTCTGGCAGCGCGCAGTGCTTGAAGGCTTTTGCTTATGAAAGTCCGCAATTCTTGCCTGGAGATATGCATCGACGTCTCTGTCACGCAGCTCCTCGTGAGCCGTCACGTTTGCAGCGCGTTCCTCTGACAGCAATGAGAATGGGACAGCATGCTGAGCGCGCTCCATAACAGAACGGCTGGACGGTGTATTTGCGCAGCTATCGGACAGCACTCTCTAAATGTCAAGCTGCTTCTGCTCCAGTTGCTCTTGCTCTGTGTCGAGCTGGTCTTGCTCCGAATTCGCTGCGCCGGCTCTGAGGGCGCGAACGTCGGCAGCGCTTATCAGCCTGAAGGAACGAGGGGATCTGGAGCGCGACTGGGGGCGGCCCATGGAGACAGGCACAAAAGGAAATCGAGGACAAAAGTACTGGCAAAGCAACTCGTGAGCTCTAACTTGCCTGCTGTCTGAACTGTCAGCCGGGGGAGCATCAAGAGCGCGGCGCCTGGCATTAGCCTCTCCAGGAGAGCGAGGTGTCTCAGGCTGCGTCGAAACGCGGCGTACCATCGAGGCGGGCAGGGGGGCGTCTCCTTCAACAACGCTGTGCTTCTCGCAGGCATCAGAGGCCGTGCCAGAGTCCGAAGTCGACCGCCTCTAACGGTTCAGACGAAGTCCCACCGGTGGTCCCTCAGCAGCGACGGAACGGGCGACGTCAGCTCCGGCTGTGGTCCCTCAGCTTCCTCATTTGGTCCCGACGGCAGCAACGTAGCCGGTGACGAAACAGCAGGCCCGTCTCTGGGCACAAGAAAACTGATCATATCTGGTGGCAGAGGTGGCAACACGAGAGGAAGAGGAAGAAGCTGCTGACCTGCATCTCGTCCTCCAGCTGGGCGCTCGGCTGCAGGCGGCGCGGGCGGCGGCGGATGCCGTGGTGGGGGCGGACGGGGCGGAGCCAACATCCACCCACCTGGGTGGCCGCCCCGGCGGACCCGACCACAGGCGAGAAGCAGGCCAATGCGGTGCCGGAGGCGGCACCGGCGGAGCGCCACCGCCTCGCGCCCCAATGCACGGCGGCGCTGCTCCTCGCCCTCGCGAGATGCACGCTGGGCCCGAGCCGGAAGTGCGAGGAAAGGGGCAACACGGCTGCGGCTACGTCTCGGGCCTGGAAGGAGGGGGGAGGGGGAGGGGGGCAAGAGGGAGGTACTGAACCTCAAATGGCACTCGACCCCAGAAGCAGCTTACTCTGTAAACTACACAGCCGCTCAAAAACGATTACGCGCATTGGTAAGTCAGCTGTTCAACCAAGACGGCGACGAAGACGTCAACGAAGACGAAGGCGATGACGACGACGACGACGACGACGAGAACCAAAATGTTACGAGGGTCACCGATATTTGCTCACCTGTCTTAGATCTGCTCCTCCCGAGCCCCCCCGTACCGTGCCCTCCCTGCTTCTCTTTCGATGCTCCCTTTCCGGGTGTTACGGAAAGTGCCCCTGGCCCAAAGTGCCCCCAGCTCTTTGCTCCACTTTGGAGCCCCTGGGGCCCTGTGGGCCTCGTGCGGAGTGCTCTGGAGGCCGTGGGGGCCTCCTTGGAAATCCTGGAGCACCTTGGGACAGGGGCATTTCTGGCAACCCCCGATGCTTCTCTTCCGATGCACCCTGTGGGTAGACTCCCGCTCCCCGCGGGGGCAGGCAGACCCCTAAGAAGGCGGGCGAGCAGAAACGGACCCTCGCTGGGGCGGTGGGCGGTCGGAGCGGGCGGGCTGGGCGGGCTCTGGCAGAAGCGGTCGAGCCCGATGGGACGCCGCGAACCAGAGGTCACGCTTGCACAGGGTCACTCTTGCGAGGAGCCGAAACAGGAGCAGTGAGGGAGGAGGGATGGAAGGAAGGATAAAGGAGGGGTGGGCGGGTGGTAGGGAGACCCCCCCTTCACACCCATCCCGTTGCTCATTCCTCCTCCTCCTCCTCCTCCTCCTCCTCCTCCTCCTCCCTCCTCCTCGCCCTCCTCCTCCTCCTCCTCCTCCTCCTCCTCCTCCTCCTCCTCCTCCTCCTCCTCCTCCTCCTCCTCCTCCTCCTCCTCCTCCTCCTCCTCCTCCTCCTCCTCCTCCTCCTCCTCCTCCTCCTCCTCCTCTCTCCTCCTCCTCCTCCTCCTCCTCCTCCTCCTCCTCCTCCTCCTCCTCCCTCCTCCTCCTCCTCCTCCTCCTCCTCCTCCTCCTCCTCCTCCTCCCTCCTCCTCCTCCTCCTCCTCCTCCTCCTCCTCCTCCGCCTCCTCCTCCTCGCTTTTCCTCCTCCTCCTCCTCCTCCTCTCCTCCTCCTCCTCCTCCTCCTCCTCCTCCTTTCTCCCCCTCCTCCATTCCTTTTCCTTCTAGATAATTCCTCCCTGTCGCACCCCGAGTCCGGTCGAAAGGGCGTGCTGATCCAGAAGCTTTAAAATTGGCAGCCGCTTCTCACATGGAGGCGGGTCGCTTCCAACATGTGGCTCTCGCCTTCGAACCGCGCACATTCGTTTTAGAAATTTGCCCGCACTTCACATATGGAGGGTGGCTCCTTTTCAAACTGTGGCCATCGCCTTAGCGCCGCTCACATTCGTTTCACAAAGTTGCAGCAGCTCCACGGATTGAAGGCGGATCGTTTTCAAAATGTGGCTTTCGTCTTAGCGCCGCGCACATTAGTTCTACACGCTTGCAAGAGCTTCACGGATTGAGGGCGGCTCATTTACAAAATGCGGTACTTCCCTGAGCGCCGCGCACATTCGTTGGTTTAATCTCTGCGAAAGCTTCACAGATCGAGGGCGGCTGGTTCTCGTCTTAGCGCCGCGCACACTCGCTGTTATTTGGAAGTATAAGAAATCCACTGGATTTAATGGCGAACGTACCAGACACGGTATTTCCTAATGATTCAGGAGAGCCAAGGCGCAACAATTACGTTGACTCGCGGTGCTGAAGTCCACGGAATGGTGTTGTGGCACGATTCCGGATCGAAAAGACGTCACAGTCAGGCTGACTCGCGGCGTTGAATTCCTGAGGACGGAATTTGGCATGCTTTTGGATGTTTACCCGGCTGTTCCTTCCCACAAAAGCAATCCCATCAGCATGGTGTTAGCTCACGCGCGTGCCGTTCGAATCTTAAGCCAGATGAGAGGAGATCGCGATGCCGATCCGCAACCCCAATTGAAACGGGTGAAGGCCGATGCTGCGCATGAGGATTCAAGCTGATGCCAGAAGGTGAGAAACTCCAACCACGAGGGGGGAAGAGGAGAGAGAAGGAGGACGAGGAGGAGGAGGAGGAGGAGAAGGAGGAGAGAAGGGGGAAGAGGAGAGAGAAGGAGGAGGAGGAGGGGGGAAGAGGAGGGGGGAGGAGGAGAAGGAGAAGGAGGAGGAGGAGGAGGAGGAGGAGAAGAAGGAGGGGGGAAGAGGAGGAGGAGGAGGAGGAGAAGGAGGGGGGAAGAGGAGAGAGAAGGAGGAGGAGGAGGAGAACAGAAGAACGAGAGGAGAACGGATGGATGGTTTAAACCGTTGTGAACGCATCTCCCCATGATCCGAACGATCATCAACCGTTGTGAGTGCATTTCCCCAAGAAACCGTTGTGAGCGCATGTCCCCATTTGTAAGCGGGCATCACACAACAGCCAACAAGGACCGCAACGCTGCACAGCAACACAAGGTCGGAATAGACCCAAAATTCCTGACATGCCACTAGAAATCTGGCTGGGCATTACAAGCCAGTCGGATGGTGACCAATCTAAGGCACAATGCTCAGCTCCATGAATCACCGCGCAAACCTACACGCCCCCGGTTTACAGCGCACAGTACGACATGCAACCGAATACCCTGTAGAAGAGAAGCGCCGAATCTAGGCGCGAGGAAACTGAGCGAGAATCGCACACCAGAAACTCGGAAACGACACAGCTAACTTCAGTGGTTGCGCCATGGCCGCCAGGAGACACGCGGGCGACGGCGACGGCACAGGCCAGGAGCGGCCCCCCCACGGAGGCGGCTCGCAGGACCAGGCGGCCAACGGCCCACCCGCAGCCCCTGAACTGCGCATCGGGCGCCCCATGCGGCAAGTGAGGAGGCGGAGGAGGGAAATAGGGGAACAAAAAGCGACATAAACATATAAACTCGGAGGTCCGCGCAGATTTCTCGGATCGGCGCTGGGCCCCCCCTCCCTGGCGCGCGGAGCGCGCCAGGGGCGGCGCCGGAGGCGCCGCCGGGGAGCCCCAGCGCCGATCCGAGAAATCCGCGCGGACCTCCGAGTTTTTATGTTTATGCCACTTTTTGTTCCCCTAGGAAAGGAAAGGAAAGGAAAGGAAAGGAAAGGAAAGGAAAGGAAAGGAAAGGAAAGGAAAGGAAAGGAAAGGAAAGAGCAGGGGGAGGGAAGAACTACAAAGAACCTGTTCCAGCGGGTGCGAACAGCAGAGCTCCAAGCCCGTAGCCCTCAAACTATGCTGTACCTACGCTCGCCCCGGCCGCGCGGCCGATACGAGGGCGCACAGCTCACCAACCAGTCTTATGAGCCCGCTGCTCGACATCGTGCTGCTAGTCATCCCAGTCGTGCATGCCTGTGTGCATGCTCAAGACTCAACAGAAGTCCTGAGGGCAGAACCTGGAGGCGAACAGAAAAGGACCCAGGAGACGAACAGTGGAAACCCTCCCAAAAACCCAAAACAACCCCGACGCATAAGCCACGCCCCGGAGGACACAATTGAGAGCCCCAGGCGTCCTATGGCTGCACTGGTGGCGGCTGCGAATGCGGGTGCTGGGGTTGACCGCAGCGTGCGGCTGGTGCTGCGCACGAGCGGAAGTCCGCGTCGAGGACAAAAAGCTCCCTCCTGCCATCGGCGACGTACAGCAGGTGCCCGTTGTGCTGCTCAGTGCCGTCCTGCTGGGATCTGACATGCTGTGCGTGCCGCTGCCCCGTATTGTGTTATGAGATGTCATGCGACTCGTCACCGCCGCCATGAGCACAGTCGAGCTGCACGCCGTTCTTAACGACCAAGACCATGAATAACCACGTAAACTGTCAAGTGCATGAGGCTATCCGTCATCAACTCGAAGAGTCTCGGGCCCACCAGGTCGAAACAGGCAGCCCGCAGCACATGCCACTCGCCCCGCAATTGGCGAGATGGTCTGCTCTCTCGTTCGATGGCGTTGATGCTGGTGTTGGGGCTGGCGTCGGCGTTGGCGGAATAGGCACCGGCGTTCCTGCTGGCGTCGGTGCTGCCGTGGGTGCTGGTGTAGTCGCTGACATTGACGCCAGCGTAGGCGCCGGCGGTGGTGCTGGCGTCGCTGCTCACGCCGGCGCTGGTGAAGGCGTTCGCATCCGTGCTGGCATAGGAGCTGGCGTTGGGGCTGGCGTCGGTGCTGGCGCCAGTGCTGGTGGAGGGCTGGCGCTGGTGCTGGCGTCGGTGCTGCCGTCGGTGCTAGCGCAGGCGCTGGCACTGGTGTCAGCGTGGGCGTTGGCGTTGGTGTTGACTTCGGAACTGGCGTTGGCGCTGGGTGTAGGCGATGGCATTGATGTCAGCGTAGGCGCGGACGTTGACGCTGGCGTCGGCGCTGGCGCCGGCGCTGGCGCTGGCGTAGGTGCTGGCTTCGGTGCTGGCGTCGGTGCTGGTCAAGGGGCTGTCGTTGGTGCTGGCGTAGGCGCCAGCGTTGATGCTGGCGTCGGTGCTCGTAGGCGCTAGCGTTGGGGCTGTCGTTGATGCTGGCGTCGGTGCTGGTGCAGCCGCTGGCGCTTGCGCCAGCGAGGACACTGGCGTTGGTACTGGTGTCAGTGCTGGCGTCGGTGCAGGTGTAGGCGATGGCGTTGGTGCCCGCGTAAGCGCAGGCGTTGGTGCTGGCGTCGATGCTGGCGTCGGCGCAGGCGTAGGCTCTGGCATTGGTGCTGGCGTCAGTGCTGGCGTGCAGAGGGCGCCGGCGTTGGTGCCGGCGTAGGCGCAGGCACTGGTGCTGACGTCAGTGCTGGCGTAGGCACTGGTATAGGCGATGCCGGTGGTGCCCGCGTAGGCGCAGGCGTTGATACCAGCGTCGGTTCTGGTGTCGGCACAGGCATAGGCGCCGGCATTAGTGCTGCCGTCGGTGCTGGGTGTAGGCGCTGGCGTTGGTGCTAACGTAGGCGCAAGCGTTGGTGCGGGCACGGGTGCCAGCGTAGGCGCTGGCATTGGTGCCAACATAGGCGCCAGCGAGGGTGCTGGCATCGGTGCTGGCGCTGGCGCTGATGTAGACGCCGGTATGTTGATGGCGAGTGCACAGGCGTTGGGGCAGTCGCCGGTGCAGGCGTCGGTGCTGATGTAGACGCTGGCGCTTGTGCCTGCGAAGACACTGGAGTTGGTGCCGGCGTAGGCGCCAGCGATGATGCTGGCGTCGGTGCTGGGGTCGTTACTGCACGCCAAACTGCGTGACCAATTGGGCATGGCACCAGGCGCGGCGCTGTAATCGTATAGGCGATGACGGATTAGAGCAACCGCCCGATTTTCCGCCCCGGGCGGGCACGGAATCCTCGACATCAGCTCAGAAAAAAAGTATCGCATCACAATGCAAGACGCAACGAAAATATCACGAATGTTGTTGCTCTGTGATGGTGTGATAGAGCTGACCCTGGAGTCTGTGCTGGGGTCGCAGCCCGAGCTGGCGTCGGAATCGGGGTCGGAGAGGCAGGAGCGGGATTCGGAGTGCCGGAGTTGGCGCTGGAATCGGTGCCGGCCACGGTGCCGCTGGCATCGGTGCCAGTCGGTGCCAGCGACGATGCTGCAGGCATCGATGCTGGAGTCGGTGCTGGCGTGGTCATGGTTGTGGTGCTGCTCATACTGGACGTGGTCACGGTGGAGGTGCGGGTCTGGTTTGTGGTGCTGCCCATGCTGGAAGTGGTCACGATGGAGGTGCTGCTCAAGATTGTGGTGCTGCACATGCTGGATGTGTTCATCGTGTTGGTGCTGGCCATGGTTGTGGGTTTGTTCATGCTGGATGAGGTCACGGTGGAGGTGCTGGTCAAGGTTGTGGCGCTGCGCATGCTGGATGTGATCACGGTGGAGGTGCTCCTCAGCATTGTGGTGCTACGCATGTTGGACGTGGTCACGGTGGTAGCGATGGTCATGGTGGCAGTTGTCATGGTGGCAGTTGTCTGGAGGGCGGGGCTCTGCTAGAATCGATTCCCAGGGAACCAACATCGTGGACCTGCTGGTCCCCGTCGTGATGCTCAGCGTGGAACTGCTGGTCCCCGTCGTGCTGCTTGGCGACGCTTGCCTCACCAGTGGACGTCATCAACGAAATGCTGGCACAGGCCGCGGTGTTCCGAGTGGAGTTGCTGAACCTCATCGCGCTGCTGAACGGCGTCGTACTCGTCCCGCGCTGCGTCTTCCGCTAGCGGACGTCGGCATCGAGCTGCTGGTCCCGATCGCAGTGCTCAAAATGTTTCTGCTGGTCCCCGTCATGCTGGTTGGCGATGCGGTACACGTTGCGCTGCTCGCCTCACCAGTGGGCGTCACCGACGAACTGCTGGCCCAGGACGTGGTTCTCAGAGCGGAGCTGCTGGACCCCGTCGCGCTGCTTAACGACGTCGTAACAGTCACGCGCTGCGTATCCGCTAGCGGATTAGCACACGGTAGTCCCCACCCCAACGGGGCAATTCCCTCAGTTGGAGCGAACCCTTGTAGGGACCTATGAAGAGGGTGCTTGGAGGGAGAGTGGATTCCAACATCGTTGAGGATTCTTGGGTTTACACTGATCCTCCTCCTCATCCTCCTCCTCCTCCTCCTCCTCCTCCTCCTCCTCCTCCTCCTCCTCCTCCTCCCACCCCCCCCATCGTCTTGCCCTTCACCCTTTTCTTGCCCTCCTTCCCCTCCCCCCTCTTTCCCCTCTCCATCCCTCCTTCCCCCCTCCATCCCTCTTTCCCCATCACCCTCCCTCCACCGCCTTATCCACTCCCCCCCCTTGCCCTCCCTCCCCTCCCTCCCCTCCCTCCCCTCCCTCCCCTCCCCTCCCCTCCCCTCCCCCCTCTCCACCCTGAGCACCGCACGCCTTGCCCTCCTGTCGAGCCGCGGCCCTCACCATCTCGCAGACCTGCACGCGCTCGTCCGGCGGGAAGAGGTTCGGCACCTCGCCGGTGTTGAGCAGGTTGTTCAGGTCCTCGGCGCCGCCCCCCCCCCCAGAGACAGAGGAGGTGCCGCAGCTGTTGTAGCTCATGGAAGCCCCCCCCCCGCGAGCCGTAGAGAACACACACAAGACAACACAACACAACACAACACAACACAGCACAGCACAGCACAGCACAATACAACACAACACAACACAACACAACACAACACAAGACAACACAACACAACACAACATAATACAACACAACACAACGTACAACACACAACACACAACACACAACACACAGACACACACACACACACACAACACACAACACAACACACGACACACAACACACAACACACAACGCACAACACACAAAACACGCACGCAAGCACGCACGCGCACACGCACACGCACACGCACACGCACACGCACACACACACACACACACACACACACACACTCACACACACACAACACACGCACAACGCACACAACACACACACAACACACACACACACAACACACACAACACACACACACACACACACACACACACACAACACACACACACCACACACACACACAGCACACACAAACCACACACACACACACGCGCGCACACGCGGCAATCCCAGGCACCATTGAAGCACTTGCCTCCGTTTTGCAATCGCGTCGCGGGCCAGAGAACAAGTTTAAGTGGGGGAACCTCGCCCGACATCGCCCGGGGTGCGCTCTGGCGAGAATGTACACAAGAATCCGGCCGTGGCGACGAGTGCTCTCCAGGACGAGCAGCGGCATCGGCACCTGTTCCTCCTCTGACGCATCTGGCCCTAACCAGCCGGCTCGTCGTCCAACTGGGTTCTCACCGGCGGACCGCCGCGTCGGCTCCCGCAGGGCCGGTGCAGCCTGGCGGCGCTGCACAGGCTGGCCGTCGGGATGACAAGGGCTGGGAGCCCTGGACTGACCTGAGACGGCTGGGAGGAGGAGGAGGAGGAGGAGGAGGAGGAGGAGGAGGAGGAGCAGAACGAGGAGGACGAGGAGGAGGAGGCTAGCCATGCGCCCCCCTGCAGCGACGGGCGGAGCGCAGGGAGGGGCGGCGCGAGGGGGCCGGCCTGCTGAGAGGGCCGCGGGCGGCTGGGAAGGCACGCCCCTGCCTCCCGAGGGGGCCCCTGCCTGCCGGGAGGCCCCCGCCCCCCGTCTTCCTGGGAGGCCCCGCCCCTCGCGCCACGCCCTTGCGCGCCGCCGGACAACGTGAGCCTTCAGGAGGACGGCGCGCACGCGCGATCGTGCCAGCACCCTCGCGCGTGTGGAGCGCGCCGCCTCCAGCGAGAGCGCCGACTCCTCCCTGCCTGAGCTTCGACTGCTCAGGCACTCCGCGGCCAAGCGAGGCGGGAGGGAGGGAGAGGAAGAAGGGAAAAGTAACCTGAGGAAGTCTTTAGTTTTGCTCTCCCCCCCCCCCTGGAGCTCTCGGCGGTGAATCAACTCGTCCCGAAACTCGTCCGCTCCCGAAACCTCTCCTCCTCCTCAAAGTGCAGCTCTCGCCTTAGCGCCGCGCACATTCGTCTTAAAAGCTTGCAACAGTTTCAAGGATGGAGGGCTCGTGTTGTTCAAAGTGCAGATCTCGCCTCAGCGCCGCGCACATTCGTCTAAAAAAAGTGCAACAGTTTCAAGGATGGAGGGCCCGTGTTGTTCAAAGTGCAGCCCTCGCCTCAGCGCCGCGCACATTCGTCTTAAAAGTTTGCAACAGTTTCAAGGATGGGCTCGTGTTGTTCGAAGTGCAGATCTCACTTCTTATCGAAAACGTCTTCTCTGCACCTGCATCTTCGTCGTTGGCGCCCGCGCCGCGGGACGCCGATGTGTTTCCCACTATTGGGTGCTGTGCTGATTTTTGTCGGGGGGTCTTTCTCCCAGGGAATAATGCCCCGTGGGCAACCCTACGCGACGGAGGAATTCTGAGCGCGTTTGTAAGGTAGGTGCAATATAACTCTACTCGCTCGTCGTCGGAGGCGCTTCTACCAATCTTCTCTTCCTCGCCCTGTTTGCAAGAATATTGTGGTATGCGCTAGTACATATGTAATGCATGTCTTAATCTTCAGCGGCGGGGCGCCGATTAGTTTCCCGCTATTGGCCGCCGTGCTGAATAATGTTGGGGGGTTCTTTCTCCCAGAGAATAGTGCCCCGTGGGCAACCCTGCACGGCAGAGGAATCCTGAGCGCATTCACAAGAGAAGTGCAATATATAGATCCATGTGTTTGTCGCCGAAAGCGCTCTTGCAAATCTTCTCTTTCTCTCGTCCTGCTTGTGGTTCAGAGTGCAGCTCTCGTCTCAGCGCCGCGCGCTATCGTCTTAAAAGTTTGTAACAGTTACAAGGATCGAGGGCTGGTGTGGTTCAAAATCCAGCTCTCGCCTTAGCGCCGCGCACATGCGTCTTCGTCTTCGTCGTCGCATCGCTGTCGTAGTCGCGATCCCACACGTACTCGTTATCGTCTTCGTCTTCGTCGTCGGAGCGCCCGAACTATAATTATTTTCCGCTATTGTCTGGCGGGGTCGTTTTTCCGAGTTGTCAATAAATTCGCCCGAATCATATTTATTTTCCATCTACTGGCCAGGGGGTTTCTAAAGACTTATGTGGGTTAAGCAGCAGCCTCGTCCCCCTTCTCCTCCTCCGCCTCGACTTCCTCCTCCTCCTCCCTCTGCTCGTCCCCCTCGTCCCCCCCTCCCTCTTCGTCCTCCCTCCTCCTGCTCATCCTTCTTCCCCCCAATCTTCGTGGTCCTCCTCCTCCTCTTCCTCCTCCTTCTCCTCCAGGTCCTCCACCGTCCCCAAACATAGGGAGGGGGGATGGGGAATGCGTGGAAGGATGATTTGGTCAATCAGACCCCCTTGCTTGCCCCCTCCCCCCCACCCCGACTCGCCCCTGGCAGGGAGGAGGGCAAGCGGGGAGGGGGGCGAGCGGGTTGGGCACGAAGGGGGAAAGGAGGCGAGCGAGCGAGGGCGAGCGGGGGAGAGGGAGAGAGGAGAGGAAGCGGGCACTGGTCGGGCGGGGAGTCCCCTGGTCCTCCACGAAGCCCTCGCTCTTGATCTGCGAGTCCGAGAAGAGGAAGACGGTCTTCTCGCCCTTGCCGCCCGCGGCGATGAGCAGCTTCTTCAGGTCCTGAAAGGCGGTGGGGCCAGACATGGGTCTACAGCGGACGCATACAGCAGGAGATCTCGCTCCGAGAGACATTGGGGCGCGTGCTTCGTCGACGCGTGAGAATCCCAAGGTGCCCCAGGGCTTCTGCAGCTCCCTGGGGGCACCGGTGGATAAGAAGACTGCGTGGGGCACCTGCCGGCAGGCCAGATTCTTATTCGACGTGCCTCCGGAGGGTCGGCACCTTTATGCGGACGATCGCGCTCCGGCTCACAGGGGGTCGCAGCCCTGGTAAAATCTCACGCGACAAAACGCCGCTCACACGCGCAGGCAGCGCAGCTTTGTGGCGAGGCGCGGCTGCTGGAATCGCCCACGGGCCCCGGCAAGGACCCTAGCAGGATCAGCCAGCATCGAATCGGGAAATCGGATCAAATCGGAATGTGCGTAGGATCGGGCTGCATCGGCACAGGGGTCGAAATCGAACTGTACCGGCTGCGCCAAGATGTACAACAGCCCCGTGAAAGCAGCCGCATGGGATTGCAGGAATACCGCGCTCGAGCAAGATCGGGCCCGCCTAGATCGGTATCGAGTCAAAGCGACCGGATCGAAGTGAACCCTGCTCTGGAGCCCAGGTCCTCCCGGAATGCAATCAGGTCGTAGCCACGGGTTATCTCGATCTGGAACACGTCGTAGTCTGCGAGGTAGCAGGCCAACTTAGCGCAGCTCTGCCGGCCGCTGCCGCCGAGCCCGACGAGCAGGGCGTTGCCGCCGGGCGTCTTCATCACGCGCGCGGAGCGCGAGAGGTGCTCCAGCATGTAGAGGAAGCACACCAGGTTCATCTTCTTGGTGGACATGAGGTTGTACTGCTCCAGGTGGGATTCGACGCCTTTCTGGAGCGTGTCCATGTCGGGGCACTCGTTGTAGGGCCTGTTCGGGGCGGCCGCCGGCGACAGCATGTCCCCGAAGATCAGTGTGCGCATCTCGTCGAGGGTCTGCACCTTTCCGTCGCCGTCGAGGTCCAGGTGTTTGAAGACCTCGTCGAACCCAGTGTTGAATACCCTCTTGGTGGCGTCGCGACACTGGTTCATCAGCCACATACGATCGTTGTCGTCCACCAAGCGATCACCGAACACGCGCCAGATCTCGTGAACCCAGACACGTATGTGGCGCGACTGCCCGTCGCACTGGCCCTTCTTGAGCAGCAGCGTTCCGAAGATCACTTTCGCGAAGTCACGCAGATTGAAGGTGTAGTGCACCTTCAGGGGTGTGGGCAGCAGCTCCTTCACGGCCGATTTGTAGATATCGAGGGTTCCGGCGACGATCTTCTTGGACATGGACTGGATCTCCTCGGGATACGCATCTGCCCCAAGCTTCCACTCGAGAATTGTCTGAAAGATCTTTGTCATGTTGTCGTCGTCGAGCTCCGGAAACCCTACGAGCCAGAAGCGCCCCGTCTGCCTGGGCGTGATGAAGGTGCGACCACCGCCAGGGGGACCCATCGCGGAGAACAACAAGACGTCTGTAATGCTTCGGAAAGGATGGGTCACGTCCTTTCTGTCGTACCAACCGCCAGAAGGCGGGTAGGCGACACTGTCGATCATCTGTCGCAAAATCTCAATGGGCGGTTGGGCACCGTACTTCTCTTTTGTGGGCATGTTCAGGTCGTCAACCATGACGACGCCGAGCTTCCCAAAGGTGGGTCCGTAGACACCTTTGCGTCGTCTGTCCAGTTTGGCATCAATGAGGTCTTGGGTCTGGGCGCACTTGGTCTGCGCGGAGAATCCCATGAAGATGGGAAGGAAGCTATCCTTATCAAGCGACATCAGCGACTGCTGCATGTAGGCTGTCTTGCCTGTCCCGGTCGGGCCACAGAATAGCAGCTTGATCCGGTGCTTGATGGCGAAGCTGCACATGTAACGATAGCGAACGTTGTCCATCGTTTGCACTACCAAACTCTCCACCGCCGTGCCAGCCTTAATGGACTGCGGTTCGACGGTGTCCATCCAGCCCTTCCACTTCATCTCCTCTGCATCATACACCCAATCGTAGATGCTGCCGCGGTCGGGGAACTCTGGGGTCAGCTTCTTGAACTGCGTTGTGCCTTCCACCTTGCCCTGCAACACGGACTTCATGTGCTGGCCAAAGGTTACCCGTGATTCCGTGGTGAGAACCGAGCCGATGGCCCAGATGCAACTGAAGACTACACTCGCGTCGATCAAGTTCTTGGTCACCTTGACAACTGAGGATACGTCCGCGTCTGGGCCCTTCTTGTATTGCGCGTGGGCGTCCAATGCGTCCTGCACGTGTGAAAATAAAAGCGCCATGACGCTTTGCACGATGTTCTGGTCCTGCGTGGGAGACACCTGCCGAGCTCGGGAGTGTGATTGACAAACGATGCAACAAGACCGTCTCCGCAAAATTTCAACATGCCTCTGGCGGGGGGAACCACAAAAAAAAGACGCTCCTTCCGCTCAGTTCTGACAGCACTCCGCCAGCTGGCAGCGGAGTGGGACCGTCAGAAAGCGGACGTCCCAGGTACCTTGAAGGTCGGTCTGAGGCCCCAGCGAGAGACAGACACCTGTGCGCATCCAGCTGGACTCCAGAGGCCCAATCTGACACTCCGAACCAAATGGTGGAAAGTTACTGCGTCCCTCCCTCGAAGAGAAAAAGCATTCTCCCTCACAGGCCGACCTCGTGGCAGTTCTCCCTCAGGAAGCTCAGCAGCGGCTTCACTAGCCAGCCGATCATGCCCTTCAGCTCACCGACCTCTTCCTCGTCCAGCTGTGCGGGAGTATACAGCCCGAGCGCCTTGCAAGGGAAAAGCAAAACACTGGCCAAAAAACGTGTGTGAGGTCGCTGGCGAATTCGCTTACATATCTACTTCTCGTCACTGAAACACCTTGCCAAAACCAAATACCAAAAGCGGCGCCAGTGGCGCCTCCTCGCCTGGAGAAGGTCCGACAGGTCACGGCGTGGGCTCCACTGGCAAGAGGGAAGGAGCTCGAGCAAGATCAGCAGGGTGCATGCGCCTGTGTGCGTGGTCTTGGCAGCATGAGCCAGGCATCGCGGCATCCCCTGTCCAAGACTAGACGGTCATAGACAGCCCAGATACCACACGTCTGGCTGTCAGCCGCTATGCGCCAATCGCCTAGGCTCAAGCCTGAGACCTTCCCTCCATGCCTCTGAGCTTCTCCTCCCGGTCTACTCCACCTGCAACAGCTGCGCGGAGCGGCTTGCCTGATGATGTTGTGCCTGCTGCCTTGTGCGTTGCGCTGTGGTGCCGTGTGGCTGTGCTGCCGTGTGCGTGATGCTGTAGCTGAGCGGTGTGCGTAGGGCGGCGTGCCTAGTTCACAAAGTACATGGCTCAGTATGCGTAATGCCGTGGGCGTGGTGTCGTGCGCGTGGTGCTGAATGCCGCGTGCATGGTGCTATACGCGTGGTGCCGTGCTCGGGGTGCTCTGTGCGTGGTGCCGTCGCTGACCGTGTGCCTGCTGCCGTGAACCTGGTTTGAGCAGCAAGAGCCGTGACATAGAAGCATGCTGGCCCCATGATCGCAGCGTCGTCTGACGTATCGCTAAAATCAGCGGGTCGTAACGAGCCTGCAGCAGCAGCTTACTTCCTGAAGGAGCCACACACACACCACATACACGCTTTCCATGCGCGCTTGCTCAGAGTCGGGCCCTAGAAATGGAGACGCCGTGTTATTCGGTCGCGCCTGATCGATGATTGGGTCCACGCCGAGCAAATGCGGCTCGAAAAAGACCATGCCATTGCGGGAGATCGTGGCCGGGGACGCCTCCGCGACGTCCATGGGCTCCATGATTGTTCGCATGTTCGGCGACATCGCAATGATCTCGCCGCTGTTCAGGCACAGCTTTTTGTTCTCGTCCATCACGGTGTTCATGTTCTCGATCCAGACGGCGTCGATCGGGCCATCAAACACGAGCCACTTGCGATCCTCCGTTTGGTTCCGCGAGAACTCGCGGAAGAGCACCGCAACAATGCCGTCGGCCCACTCGTGGGACACATCGTCGAAGCTGCCGTACAGGCAATTGGCCGGGATGCTCTTAGGATTCAGTCGAGCCTGGTGCACCGTACACCCCGCATGCATGACGCCCTCCGCCGCGAGGTCGGTCAGTGTCTTCTGGAGGCAATTCAGCGCAGTGGTCTTCCCGCTGAACGGCATGCCCACCAGCATGACGCTATGCCGCACGATGTGGCACTCGTAGAACTGGATTATCTTCTCGATGAAGTAGGGATGGGGCTGGCAGTGGTCCTTGGCCAGGTGCTCGGCGAGCTTGGCCGTCAGCGCGCCGAAGTCAGGCTGCGGAAGCTCCACCCCAGGGAACAGGTCCGACGTGATCCCCTTGAACAGCGGCACGTCGAATGCAAGGAACTTCGCCAAGTTCACGTCGCTGATGGCCTGCAGCATCAACACCTCCTCGTTCTGGGTCGGGTACTTACGCTTCATGTTACCAGCCGCCACCAGCACGGAAAAGACTGCGCGCATCCCGTAGTCGTAATGCTTCTGCGACGACAGCTGCTCGCTGCAGAGCTTGTACGTGGTCACGATCTTCTGCGAGAGCGAGCGTGCGTCCGAGTAACCTGGAGAGGGCACCAGCCCTACACTGGCACCGGACCCGGTCAGTCCTGGGCCAGGCCTGGGATCTGTGCACACTCCTCGTGGGTAGGTCACGCTGGGAGAGCACTTGCGGTGATATCCGAGGTCGGGCCTGGACAGAGGAGTTCTGGTGTTGGGCCTGGGATCTGTGCGTACCCCCTCTGGGTGGCCACGCGGGGAGGGTCCAGCCGAGCCAGAGCAAATCTGGTGTTGGTGCGTAGTTGGGTTTCCTGGTGGCCATAGGAGTAGAGCTTGATCTCTGCAATCAGTGCGTAGTCCGGCACCATCATCGCCACCGTGCGGTACAACGCCTTCAGGAGACCCCATTACACCCACTGACTTGGTCCTCCCCCTGATCCCTCATCCGGAAGAGTGAGGAGGGGGCGATGAGGACCTGGTAAACAGAGAGGGAGTGAGGGATGTGGGGCGTGAGGAGAAGGGGGTAGACTGACTGGTAAGGAGAGGGAGAGAGTTCACCACTACCACCACCAAGCCTCGACCTCGCCAGCAGGTCAAGTACACAAAAACTGACCCAAAAACTGCCTGTAGAGTGTTGCTAACTGGCGCGTGCGATGGGCCCCATCCAAGCCTTCAGGTTGTCTGGCAACTCTGCGCGCCCAGCGTAGCCCGGGTTCATGGTGATGAAGCTGTTGCATGTCCACCTGGCCAGTTTCCAGAGCGCCAAAGCATGAACAAAGCGAAGCGGTGAGACTGTGGAGCTGACGGGCTCCAGAAAAAGTAAGACGAGGTAACAAGAGAGAGAGAGAGAGAGACAGAGACATAGGCAGAAAGAAAGAGGGGGGATGAGAAAAACGGCATCAAAGCGAAGACGCGGTTAGCCTACATAGTCAGTCTGTCCACATCCGACCGCCTCTACAGGGTCGTCGCTGGCCTCTCCGCTGGGGGAAGCCACGCCGTCGCGCACGTAGGCTCCGCCCCGCCCGTACCTCCACCGAGCTTGCTCGAAGGACTAAGCCGCCCATTCCTCCGCAGGTCTGCGGCGAGGGCCTCAGACAAGGCTCGGCGGGGCTGGGCATAGACCAGAAGAGCACAGGGTCGGGAGCCGACGCGAGCGGCACACAGGGGTGGTGGGGCTGGGCTGGGTCTGGCAGGGGCGAGTGTAATGTCGGGGACGGTGGCGGCACAAGGGCGTCGTCAGGCTAGGCAGAGGCCAACAGCAGTAAGCGTGAAAGCCGACAGTGGTGGCACACGGGGCTCGTGAGGGTATGAGCCTACTGTCAGGAATCAACGCTGGTGGCACCCAGGGCTCGCGGGGCTAGGCAGGAAAAAGCAGGGGCTGGTCTGGGGAACAAGCTATCGCGGCAGTCAAGGCACGTGGGGCCAGTCATGGGCAAGTCCGCCGCCCCCCCACTTGCCGAGGCGACAAGGCGTGGGAGGCGTCGGTGCCCCTTCTCCCCATGAGTCCAAAGTCCCGTGTGAGGGGGCGACGAGCTCCTCGACGCACCTATGGGGGCCCTAAGTGGCTCCAGAGTGACCAGCTGAGCGCTGGAGCCTCCCCAAACGACCCGTGATGGCTGCAATGTGGTCCAAGACAGCCGTGGAGAGCGCCCAAGTTTGCCCCGAGCGGCCCACGTTTGACCTCCGCTGGAGCCCCCCTTGGCCCCAAGCTGGCCCCGCGATGGCCACGGAGCTTCCCAGGCAGGCCACCACGACACGACGCGCGAGGTGCTCGTTGGGGTGCCCTCGCCCTTTGCCCGTCTCTGGGTGCTCGTGGCGGCGGGCTGCCCACGCCACGAGGCCCCGCCCAGCCCCGCTAGAGAATCCCGTCCTCGGGGCGGCCGCGGAGAGGAGGGAGCGGCCCGCGGGGTCCCGCGCCTGCCGGGAGGCGTCGGCGGGAGGCGGCCAGCGGTGGCCCGCGCGGTGCCGCCCGCAGGGCCTCGCCCGCACAGCCCCATCCGTGCTTCGGCCGCGGGCGAGGGGGGGGAAGCGGGGAGGGAGAAGGCCTTCTCAGAAGGCGGCGGGGCTTCCCAGAAGCCATCGCGCCCTCCGAGAAGTTTTCTCTTGCCTTCGGGGAAGGCTCAGGAAACTTCTCGAAGGCTGGGGGACTTCCGAGCCTTCTGTGAAAGCCCGCCCCTTCTCACTTCTCCCCCTCGCTCGCCCCCGAATCATCGGGCTGGCCACGGGGGGGGGGGGCTGGCGGCTGCGCCTCAGGTCCCGCTCACAGGGCCTCGCCCATGGGGTCCTGCAAAATGGGGTGGTCGCAGGGGTCTCGCTGGCGGTTGTCTGGAAGGTTCCGCCCACAAGACCCCGCCCGTGATCCCGCCCGCGGGTTCTGGTCCACAGGGTGGTGGGGTGGTCGCGTTGGGGGGGGGGGGGGGCCGACTTGTGGATGCACATATGGTCCTGGCTGTGGGGTCCCACCCACAAGGTTCCCGGCGATAGGATGGTTGAAGGGATTGATGGGTGGTCGCCCATGGGATTCTGGCCACGCCCCCCCTCTCCCCCGTGGGTCTGGCCAGAAGGTCCTAGCATGTGGTCCAACCAGCCCACTGGGCGTAGGTGGTTTAGCGAGTTAGTTGTTCAAATCCTCATTGTTCCCTGTCGGGGATGGGCTTATCACTGCTACTGTCGCGGTGGAATACCCCAAGGGCTGGGTGCAATACCCTGGCGGGTTGGGTGGAATACCCCACTGGATCCTGACAGGGATGACGGGATGAGCATGTTTGTCCGCTGCGCGCGCGCTCTCCCACGAGCCGTATTCCACACACCATACAGCCTGCTGGCCAACACGCCGCCACGTTGCACTGATCTGCTTTTGACAGGAACGGTATGTGGGTGTTGCCCGATGTGTGCTGCCACTGCTGCCTCATGCACCGGCGCACCTGGTGCGCGTGGCGCACCTGACACGCGCGGCGCAAGCCGCGAGCGTTTCCGTCGCGCGCCTGGCGTCTGTATTGGTCCCCTGTGGCTGCCCATCCTGTGGCGACCTCTGCCTGTGCCGAGTCTCGGGTGCTACTCATGATATGGTGGGAGCACGGGCGGGAGTGAGCGAGACAGCTTGTGGCGCTCCAGTTGGGAACTTGGCCCCACCCTTACGCCTCCCCCTGGGGCCTGCACCCCCCCCACCCACACACACACACACACACAAAAAAAAAAAAACGAGGTGCCAGGGGATCGATGGAGGCTCCAGATAGCTCAACATGTCCGACTTGGCCCGAGATGGCTCAAGATGGCATTAGATAGCCCAAGCCTTGTTCAAGATGCCTTCCGGCATGACCCTTCAAGAGGCCCCAGGACGGCCTCACGGCGGCTCCGCTTGGCCGCAGAGCGAAGCATGCCCCCAAGAGGCCAGAACGCGCCCAGCAGCACAGCTTCAGTGGTCTTTGCCCCCTCGTCGCCTCGCTTCCGATGGGCGTCCGAGGCCTCCACACGGCCCCGAAGTCGCCACAAGGGTGCCCGAGGAGCGGCGCCCGCGAAGCCTGGGCGTCCGCGGGGCGAGCACCCGGAAGTGGCACCCGGCTGCTGAGGCAGGCAAGTTCTCCGAGGGCACGCGCTGCCCAGGCACAGAGGCGAGGCGTGAGGAGGTCAAGCCTGGCCCGCCCTGCGTGTGTGTGTGTCCCAGGCGACGGGACTGCCCCTGCAATCGAGACGGGGTCGGGAACCCGACAGGCTGTTGCTCTTCAAGACCGAGGTCCAAGGGAGCGGCAACGGGCACGGGTCTTGCCTGATGACCCTGCTTGCCGAGTCTACTTGGGAAAGAAAAGCGGGCTACTGCGAAAGCAAAAACCCGACCACATCTGCCTGAAGCCTGGAAAATGCAACGTTCCCAGGAACGTTGCATTTGACGGTCGGGCAGCTGGATAGGCCTTCCATAACTCCCGTCAGAAATCCGTACTGCACTCATCAGTTGCGCAATTCCTGGGCAAATGCACGAAACATCCGCGTGGACCAGAGTGCAAAAAGTAATTTTCCAGCACGCAAAAATCTTGTGGGCAACTTCGGCATAGCTCATCACAATGTTCCGTCGCATCACTGGTTGCGCGCGATACAGGAAATCTTATACGTTTATACTTTGATACCCCGCTTCTACGCTGCATACAAGCGCATCACCTGGACCTGGAACCTGGAGATGATGGATGTTGCAACCCGTTGGGCAGAATTGAAATATGCCTTGGGGCGCGGCTCGCGGCATTCTTTCGGGGGGGCATAGACCTGAAAGCTTGCGAGGCGGGTTGGCGAACAACGCTTCAGAAGTGCGATTGAGCTGGGTACTGGTTCCCCTCCGATGGTTTGCCCAAACCCTACTCCAATTCCTCTTGGACAAGCGCGCCCCCCCATCGAGACCTTCGATGTCCCGATGTTGCACTACATGGAGCTCCAGAGCTCTCAATTCGATCTGCCGTGTGGGCACGAACTGCGCATCTACGTGCCAAGAACAAAGAAACAAATCTGTGTTGAGCGTATACGTGCGCCGGGTGTATGCGCGCTTCTCTCGCGCACGGGCCACCTGATTGGCAGGGTCGTGCCCTCGAACTCAAACGTGGTCATCTTCGCGCGGATGGCGTTCTGAATCTGCAGCACCTGCTGCGCGATCACGCTCAGCACCTTGGGAGGAGGGTCCTCGTCCACCTCCTCATCCTCCTCTTGGTCCTGCTCATGCTGGCCCGCCTGCTCCAAATCCTGCTCGTCATCTTCTTCCGCCTCGTCCTCGTCATCATCATCATCATCATCATCATCATCATCATCATCATCATCAGCAGCAGCACCACCACCACCACCATCGTCATCATCATCAGCATAATCAGCATCATCATCAGCACCATCATCATCATCATCATCATCATCATCATCATCATCATCATCATCATCAGCAGCAGCAGCAGCAGCAGCAGCACCATCATAATCAGCCAGCAGCATCATCAGCATCACCACCACCACCATCATCATCAGCAGCAGCATCATCATCAGCACCATCGTCGTCATCATTATCATCCTGCTTCTCCTCCTACAGCCCTGCTTCTTATCCTGCCCCTGCTCATACGTCCCATCTGCTCCTGCTCCACTTACTGGTGTTGTTATTCCTCTGCCTTCTCCTGTTTCTGCTCCAGTTCCTCATCATCCTCATCCTCCTGCTGATCCACCTTCTAACGAATCATCTTAGCTGTCTCGGCACGCGAGAATTGATAACATGAGACTCGTAGAAGACAGCATGAATCGCTTTCATGCAGATACCCTTGAAACGTGTAGCTCATGGGCCCTGTTGGGCCCTGTGGATATGGAGCTTCCAATCAACAAGCAAAAACCAGATCAAAAACGTAGTAGAGCATACTGATTTTGGTAACACCTCCACAATGCCATTCTACCACACAAAGCGTGCTAACTCAGAGAGTGAGATACGGAAGGGGTAATTCCACCAGCCCTCTGGTCGTGAATGGTCTGAGGAGCTCATTCTGCAAACCCCCTTCTTCTCCTTCTCTCCTCGGGCATCGCCGCGTTGACCAGGGATTCCACAACCAACGGCTCACATCCAGAATCTGCGGCAAATGAACAACTTGAGACATCTCGTCGCCCAGTGCTCTTTGAGCGCCGGGCGCGCGCTGGAGCGGCGGTCGTCCTAGCCACGTCCCCTGAATCGGAGACCGCCCCCAGCCTCGTCGCCGTGGCAACTGTTGGTGCCTCGTTGGCGTCCGTCGATAAACTCGCAGAAGCATGCGGTGCAGGTGCAGGCGCCCCAGCTTGCTCTTGAGCAAGTGCTGCTGGTTCCGCCGTGCTGGTGGCAAAGCCGCCGCACCAGCGGCATAGACCTCTGGCGCTCGAGCCTGTGGATTCGGCTGCGCTCGATCTGTCGCTCAGCGGCCTGAGCTACATCCGGGCGTCGCCTCCGTCGCGATGCTGCTGAATGTCGCACTGCCCTTCACTTTGCCCTGACGCTGGCGCTCCGTCGATGGTCGCGCGCGCGCGCTGTCGCCATGTCAGGAGCGACCTCTCTGCGCTCCCCCCCCTCTCGGCAGGCAAGCTCCAGCCTGAGATGCTCGCGCGCACATCTCCAAGACCCACTACAATGCACGGCACAAGACACGCTAGCGTTGAACTTCTCGTCCCTACTCTCATTCAGGGCGGCCCTGGACTAGCAACCATAGCTGGTCCACGCCGAGGTATCTTCTCGAACTTGGTAGAACCACTCATATTTCCTACGACTTCACGCTGGCACCAGCGCTACATATGTAGCTATCAAGTACCCTTCTGAGCCAAAGGGCAACCAGGAATGCGAACCACGATCATTTGACTTGCCTGTCGGCGCAACATCCACCTGCGAAATGGAACCCACGGACCTCCCCGAATCTGCCAGAGCCCTCCAAAAACTGCCGATCCTCGACCCTCGAACCTCGATCCTCCCTCAGGTCAGGTGGAATTGGTGACCCCCCCCCGGCCCCAAGGATGACCCCCCTGGGCACTGCCTGAATTCTGGCCCTCCCCCTCCGCCTCTCCTTCGTGCGATGCCGCGGTGGGCTGGCCGCGGGCACTGGCCAGCGGGCTGGCTCATCGGCAAGCGACTACATGGATGTATTCGTTGCTATTGCTCTCCCGACTCTGCCAGCTAGCTAGGCTGGGCCCAACAGTCCGCTTCCTCCTCTTCCGCCTCCTCCTCCTCCTTTTCCTCCTCCTCCTCCTCCACCTCCTCCTCCTCCTCCTCCTCCTCCACCTCCTCCTCCTCGCTCCTCGCTCCTCCTCCTCCTCCTCCTCCTCCTCCTCCTCCGCCTCCTC